GTGATTTAAAAAAAGAATTTATTTTTAAAAACAGGTAAAATTTTTTTTTTAATATTGTTTTTGAAAATTTTAATAATAAAAATAGAAATAAGATTTGGAAAACTTTTTTTTTTAAATACTTTAATCAATATCAAAGTTGATCTATAAATAAATAATAATTGAATCAAGGTAACATTTGTCAAATTCAGTCAATCATTTACAGAGTCCCAGGACATTATTGTCTCTTGGGTATAATAGTTTGCTTTACCTGTCAAGGTTTATCGATATTGGCATGTTAGTATTGTTGATTAATGATCTCACACATGGTAGAAATTTGTAAGCATGTATATATATATATTTTTTTTTAAACTTAATACTTTATTTTAAAATAACAATCAAAATGACGATATATATTTTTAAAATTACATTTATTCCCCAAATCCCGCACGGATATTATATTTGATAAAATTTTCCATACTCGCAATATCGAAAAAGTGATAAACTATAGATTTGCAATTTATCATATTTATATATTAAATTGACTTTGATATTTTGATTTTTCGAATTTCCAAAAAAAAAAAAAAAATAGAATTTATCTTTAAAATTTATTTAGTATTAAAAATATGTAGTGGAAGTAGTTTTCGACAATAGGCGTGTCTTTGTTGGTTCTAAGAGATGGCTTCATCGTGTTCCAAGTTGTATTTATAATGGAAGTGTTTTCGACAATTCGAATAATAAAGAATGTTTCGTATTTTTCGCGCGACAATAAAGAAAGTACTCTTAAAAAAAATGTTATCAACAGAAAATGTTGGAATAAACAAAATTGAGTTGTTTTTTTCCAATTTTTACTTATTTTTAATCCGAAAAATTACTTTTTTTCACTTAAATGAGAACATTTACAAAGTCTTAAATAGCATGGGTGTGAAACACCCAGAGTACCCCTTGGGGATTAAAAATTAATTTCAAAAAATCGTAATTGTTACCAAAAATTGAGAGCAGATGTTCGACCTTTTTGTTAATTAATTAGTAAAACAAAAACAAAATTTAATCATTTAAAACAACAATTACTACTGTCAATTAGAGTATGTTTATGTATTGAATTAACAAAAATTTATTAAAGCTAATAAATCTTGAAATTCACTGGGATTTTAAATGAATAACAATTGTTATTTCATTTCTCGAAAAATCTCATTTACCTTACTAAAATATATACATATATATATATATATAGAGAGAGAGAGAGAGAGAGAGAGAGAGAGAGAGAGAGAGAGAGAGAGAGAGAGAGAGAGCCGTTGAGAAGAAATAAATTACATAAAACACAATGCAAATAAATCGTCATTGTAACATGAAATTTGTGTTTCAATTAAAAGCATGTTACAAATGTAAATTGAAAAGCGTCGAGGAGAAGACATTTCCACACGCTCGATGATATACCAAAACCAACACTAAATAAAACTCAACTGACAAACAAGAAAGAGACTCGATAATGCAATTTCGAGTGGATTAATTAAGTTTTGCCAGTCTGTAAATCTTCTCCTAATTTAAAAGGTCGCTTGCCAGTATACATTGATAAATTGAAATCGAACACCTACATATAAATGTGAAATAAACCCCGGGGTAGTAGCACATTTTTCTCTTTTATTATTATTTTTTTTTTATTTTACTGAAACATATAATAAAATTGTAAATATTTAATGACAAGCGAATTTATCAGTACAGTAACTATAAATTATAAGCTTATTTATATGGGGGCATTGGTAAAACATTGCATGTTTTCGAAAGGTTAATCGTAACTTGGCAAAAGTACTTTTAGTTGTTTCATTTTATTAGCTCGTTTTATGGACCAATAAACAAATAACACATGACCGATTACAAAGTCTCAAATTTTTTATGTATATAAATTGTAAATTGAACAACTCGTTAATAGCATTAGTAATAAATATTAATCAAACGAATTGAAATTTTCAAATTATTGGATATTTTGTAAAAGATCAAATCATTAAACGTTGCCCATTTTTCCATTTCAGTGTGGATTACACAATTTTAACGTCACCGTGACTTATTTAAAAATAAATAAAAATATTTTTGTAAATAAATGATTGTTCATAAATAAACAAGTATTTGTAAATAAGAAAATAGTTGTTAATAAACAAATATTTATAAATCAATTAATGTTTATAAAATACATTTACCAATGTAATAGTTAATTTTGTCAAAATATGATCTTTGAGAGAGATAGAATCCTGAAGCAACTAGTCTTGAAAAATAAGGAAGTCAGCATTCCACTGCAACAAGGATTGTAAAGGTTACTAACATTTTTCCGTATTCCACATTCTGGATCCCACTTTCAAAATTCCGTATTCCACATTCACAATCACACTTTTAAAATTCCGTATTCTAGATTCTACATTCCGTATTCTGGATCCCACATTCCTGATTCCAATTTTCACATGCCGGATTCTACATTCTGAATCTCATATTCCGGATTATAATTTCCAGATTTCACTTGTTACATTCCGGATTCCACTTTCAAAATTCCGGATTCCACATCTCACATGCTGCAAGTGGAATCCGGAATATGGAAAATGGAATCCGCAATGTAGAAAGTGGAATACGGAATATGAAATATTGGATCCAGAATACAACATTTCAAAAGTGGAATGTGGAATACAGAATGTGAAAAGTGGGATCCGGAATGTGGAAATTGGAATATGGAATCTGGAATGTGAAAAGTGAGATCCGAAATGTGAAATCTGAAATATGAAATTTTGAAAGTAGGATCCTGAATAAAGAATTTGAAAAATGGAATACGGAATGTAGAATCTGGAATATGAAATGTGAGATCCAGAAAAAGTTACGTAATTGACTTTAAAGAACGACTGGTACCATATGTCGTTTATGAGTACACAGGAAAGTTGACGAGTCCAGGTGATAACCACAGGTATGGAATTCAATTGACCGTGCCGAAAACCCAAACAATATAATTCTTTCAGAAAAATAAAGAGAAGATGTATTCCAAATATTGTGGCGAAGTTAAATCCTTGAATACTTGGATGTGTTCTTCTTGACGTATAAAATTTTAAACACTTGACACAAAAATTCTTCTAAATTAAACTTGAGTATAAAATTGGGTAGAGTAACAGGCGTCAATTACGTAGCTTTTTCCGGATCCCACATTTTGTATCCCACTTTCAAAATTCCGTATTTCATACTCCACATTCCGGTTTCCACTTTCAAAATACCGTATTCCGGATTCCACTTTTCACATTCCGGAATCCATATTCAACTTTTCAAATTTCGGATTCCACATTCTGGATCCCATATTCCGGATTCTGCTTTCCACATTTCGTATTAGAAATTTCTAATTCCATTTGCAAAATTCCGGATTCCACATCCTACACTCTGAAACTGGAATCCAGAACGTTGAAAATAAAATACGGAATGTGGAATATAGGATCCGAAATTTTGAAGGTGGAATGTGAAAAGTAGGATCCGGAATGTGGAATATGGAAAGTGGAATCCGGAATGTGAAATTGAGAATCCGGAATATGGAATCCGAAAAAAAGTTACGTAATTGACTCCTAGTACTTCTAAAAAATTTCGTATATGAAGATTACGTGCTGGAACCAAAATCTGAACTGAACTCTCCTGGCAAATGTGCTTCTTTTATTCAGGATTTTCACAAAGAGGGTAGACAAAATTCTCAGGAGCGAGGTTACTTCTTCCACCTCTTTAATAAAAAAATTAATCACCTAATCGTTATAAATTAGGGTGACTTCCCTTTTGAAGTGACAATGATATACTTTTAGAAATACTGAACTCAGAAAGTCAGGCTACTATCGCGACTGTGTTATTGATTTTATTAAATTAAGGGTTAGATTAAAGAAAATATAAGTTCATAGAGTAGGAAACATTTAAATATTGAAAAAAAATATTTAAATTAGAACATAACACAATCAATAAAAAAATAATTATTTTAAATCACATCTAGAAAATTGAAAATGTCTCCAGTGATCAAAATTGAATAAAGAATGAAATTTCAAGAAAAATGTTAGTGTCTAGGTGAAAATTAAAAAATCTATCATTAAATTCCAATAAATCTAAGTGAAATTACAGTAGCCTTAGGACAGTTGAGCGTGGGGACTGCAAGTGGCAAAGACAAGGCGTGAGTGCAGAGTTTCCTCGGAAATGATTCATGTCCCTCGAGGCCTCTGGAACACGATTTCAAGGGCTCCCGAGTTTGCTGAATTGGAACGTCGGCACATCCATTTCACCTAATAAGACATTTCAGAGAATATCGAGGTTACAAACTTGTCTTATTATTTCTGCCTCGCTGGCCGACACACGCTTTATCAAATGGAATAATATCGAGTAATTCTTTCTTACCAACTTTTCTTAACATTTAAATTCTTCTGATCTTAAGTTTCCTTATTAAAAGTTATGAATAATGTAACTTGCCTTTTATCAAACTTTAGAAATGCAAAAAAAAAAAAACCCCACTGAATATTTAATTTCTAAAATCTCTCTAAAAGTGGTTCACTTTAATATAGAGCAGTGTTCTTTACTAGAAGCAAAAAAACATAAAAATTTTTTTGAAAGAGTACGATTAGTGTAAACATTTTCAAAATACAATGAAACGGATGTAATAGTATCTCAGGGAAACAGAATATTGATGGAGCTATTCAGAGCAAATCAGTATTTATATTTGATCTATGTATCAAATTTTTCTTCTTTGATGAAACTATGAATCAATTTTTAGTTTGTAGTGAGATTAGTAAAAGACATAACAAGACTGGTACTCTCTTAAATTTAATCTAAAAAATCTATAGACACTAGTATATAGCAGTGATATTGATTTAAGTTTTACGTGAATACAAAATAAGAACCTTTTCAAGGGCTATAATTATAAAAACAGATACAATTAACAGTTTTCAAGAAACTCTTTACATGAACATGAATTTTTTATTAATCAATGTGAATTTCTACAATGTATTAGGGTGTTGCTAAGCAGGAATAAAACTCACTTTATTTTTTGTCAGTACATTGTGAACACTGAAGGAAAATGGACATATTAGAAAATCCACATTACATTTTTGCTAAATATATAATAATAGTATCAGGACAAAGTCAATATCATCCAAAGTGGTTAAAATTTTTGATAAAATTTACCATTTTCATAACCCTATTTTCTTGTCAATGTGGACTGGTAATAATATTTTTGATGAAAATAATATTTTAAAGCAAATAATTAATCAATTACGATTAGTATGCAGGAATGATGAAAGCATTTGGTAATATTGATTCAATGTTGGAAACCATACCACCAATATGTTACGGTTTAATAAGTATTACTATTTTAATAAACAACAATCTTCAAGAACAACAAGTAACTAGTTATAATTTTTTTTTTATTATGATAAAAAATTTAAATAAATTTTTTTTTCAGATGAAATTAATTTTCTCAAAAATCGAAAGTGACTGGAAAACATTAACATCAAAACATGAAATCGATGTTTTACATAAATATGGCAAAAAATCAAAATTTTTTAATACGGTTTACATGGGTAAATTCACTATTAATAGTTATGAAATATTTTTATGAAAAATTATTAACAATTTATAGAAAAAATATTCGACTCTTTTACAGTTGGATTTTTTGGACATTGTACAATTTATTTATTTTCAAATTCTCTTTTGGTTATCATTGGTTTTTTCCAAAATAGTAATGAACATAGACCAATTTTATTTCCATTTTATTTTGGTATAGACACAGAAAAATATTATCATTTGATACTATTATATAGTCATGTATGTGCATACTTTGGTACTATTTTAAATGCAAATGGAGCTATGATTTTTTCAATTCTAATTGAACATGCTTGTGGAATATTTGAAATTATAGGGTAAATTTTATAATAAATGTGAAACATTTCAACCATTTTTTTTAATTGATTAATTATTTAATTGCATTTAGGTGGCGAGAATTACGAATAGCAATATTGCTTAGTTATCGATTATTTAGATTTTAGCATAAAAAACTGTCATTAAATTTTAATAAAAATTTTTGCATACTAATTCCTTAATTGTATTCTATTTACACTATTTTTTTTAAAGTACGAGCTTCTGTGATACAAAATGCAATCAATACTTTCTTTAAACTTCGCTAAAAGAGAGGATGACACCTACTAAAATGCGTGTTCACCGTTCCGCTGGACTTCTATTTAAATAAAAATCAGCTGGGATTCTTTTTATATACTGTTTCTCCGCACTGGAAACACGTAGTCGATCTGTCCACCATCTTACAATTTATTCGAATGTAGCTGTGTCCAAAGTACTGTTGACACAACTCAAGCATTGTTTTGTTTCTGATATGGCTGACCAAATCCAATTTTTATGCTACCTACTTTCTCCAACCTATCCATCTCTTCTTGGTCGATGACTACAACTGCGAGGTTCATCCCTCGTTTGTTCGATCCTAGGACATCCTCTGCTGCCGGCGACATAGCTGATGTTCACCTTATCGCCATATTAATCTTGGCTGGACTAAGTCTCACACTACTGCAAGAGTCTTCTTCACTTCGTCGATGGCTGATTGGAAAACTCTGCAAATTCCTGTATCGGTGATATGATTATTATTCGCCTTATGCCCGTTCTTCTCTTTCGATATGAAGAAGCTGGGGTTTTCTTATAGTCAGCGAACTTGTAATCAGATTCACAGTGTAATTAAGGCATCGAAGACAATTAGTAACCATCGCTCTTTTCTTTATTGGACACGATATAAAACCTATCATCATGCTCCCAAAATACTGTAATCTGTCCGCCTCTTCTTGGCCGGTGACTACAACTGCGAGCTTCATCCCTCGTTTGTTCGATCCTAGAGCATCCTCTGCTGCCAGCGACATAACTGATGTTCACCTTATCACCATACTTTTCTCTACATAAAAAGCAACTTGGGCTTCTATTGCAGTTTGCAAACTTATGATCCACTTCACCGCAGTTGAAGAACGCAGTTGATCTGTCCGCTGCCTAACAAACTCTTTCTATGTGGCCGTACGCCAGGCCCCGGTGTCACCGAACGATTATTATCACCCTTCTTTTTATTAGGCAACACATAAAGCCAATCCTTATGCGTCCAGATTTTTCTAGACGTCACATTTCTGCTTCCTGGCTTCTGGAGCACTTCTGCCAACGCCTGTTGGACCTTTTCTTCATGGGTAAGGCAATCCAGGTCGCGGATCTCCAATGTAAGCTTTTGATCCACAGTCAGCAACTTCTCCATGCTTTCAACCGCTTTAATGACCTCAGTGATGAATGCCTCCTTGTTGGAGTCTTCTCCGATTTTGATCAGATCTTCTTTTCTCGTAGGCCTTGCACCCACGACCCACCTGTAACTGACATCCGGATTCACTTTCCTACGAAGTTTGCTCAGTACGTCGACATACGTCTTTTTAGTTGCAACTCGGATCACCATTGTAGATTCAATCGTTGCCTTCTTCTTCCTAATTTGATTCAGTGCTTCCGTCAGCTTCGCAATCTTGTTTACAAATGGTGCCTCCTCCTGTATTTTCTTCTTTGATCCAGTGTTGGTCCTCACTCGTCTGCTAGTGATTCTTTCCTGTTTTTGCTCATCTACAAATGCGCTGAAGCTGCTTCTCATGAATAGGCTCCTTTTTCTTGTTCCCGTCCTCTTGGTTTGCTTCTGCAAAGTCTATAGCGCCACCAAAACGACTGTTTCCGTTAGCAGCCAGGGCATGTTTTGCCTTCGCCTCACTGATAAAATCCTGAAGAGTCTTTAGTCCTGAAGAGTCTTTAGTCCTGAAGAGTCTTTAGTCCGTCCTTAACAGTTCTGTTGACGTTTTTTAGGCTTCGCAAGACTTTACCATCTTTGCGATAGTCTTCGATTCTCTGCAGACATTCGGTTTCCTTCTGCCTAAGATTTAAGCAGCACTCCCGTTCCTCCTCGATTGTCTTGTTGACTAGATCAGACGGAATCAAACTTCTTCTATTGCTGACATCAGAAAGCCTAAGGACGCTACTTCTTCTACTTCCATCTCTTTTCACAATGATCTGTGGTGCCGTTAGAATCTGGACACCCTCGTGGTCCGTGCATCTTTTGAAATTGGATGCTCCAGTACCAAAGGTGTTCAATACATTATTTTCACTGGATCTCGACGCTGGGGTTTGACAATTCATAAAACGATCGGTCATTAACTGATATAATTTGGATCAAAGCTAACACTAAATCACTTCGATTAGCTTTTAGATGATCTAATGCAGCAAAATTGTAAAACGTACCAACTTTTCAGTCTTGCTACTGGTAATCTCTCTCCCTTACAAATGTCATCTACTTCAAACTCGTTGTAATTAAAATTAATTCTCCTTCTATAGACATAAATTGACAACTTCTATAATGAAAAGTGGAGATTACAGTAGTAAACAAAGTTTTAAGAGAAACCTTCAGCAAGAAATAATACTTTGTGTTAAAATGCATAAAAAGGTTCTATTGTATGTACATTACAGCTTTTATCTAAAATTTTCTTAATTAAGTCTATGAATTGCAGAACAGCATCGATACTTCAACTTTGAGCTAAACAATAATTTTCATGACAATGGCTTCTTTTGATGGCTATAGAAACAAAAATAAATAAAATAAAAGTAAATCATAATTAAAATCACTGTTTAGATAGTAGAGAAAAAGTAGTCTATTCTGTAGTCCATAATCTGAATTGTTGAAATATATTAAATTAATTTTTTTAAATGATGGTATAATATTCACACTTGGTAATTTATATTAATTGAAAAAATTTTGTTTTAAAAGATTTGTTAATGATATAGAGAAGCTATTTTCAACTGCATATTTATTAATATTTGGACTCTGTATAATTGATTTAAGTGTCACGGGAGTTCAGGTAAATAATTCAGATTAATATTAAAAGAAGCTTATGGCAGTATTCTCAAAATGTTAAATTGACCAGGAATGTAACTGTAATTTTAAATTATAATTTAGTCAGTGATGTATATACATAATGTCAAGGAAGCCGCAAGATTTGGATTTTACGCAGTTGCACAAGTATTTCACATTTTTCTTTTAACTCTTCCAACTCAGCATTTAATGGATAAAAGCCTTTGCATTTCTGACTGCATGTACAAGTTATTTTTATTTATTTCTTTTTCTTACAATTTTTTTTTAAAAAAGGTTTCTCAACCAACGATCGTTATGAAACTTTAGTTTTGTCCCCGTTCTGTGTCGGTATATCACAAAATTTCTATGCTAAATTTTAGTTACGTGACGAACCATAACAAGAAAGTTAGAAGTGGAATTTTGTTTCGTGTCAAGTTGTTGCGAAACTAAAACGAAAGCTGATTTTAATGTAGTTTCATTTTAATGCCAATCCTTCTTCTTAACGATCGTGCTTTTATTGGCTGTGTAGCGTATTTAGAAAATCTTTAAATATCTCATGAATATTCAGATGTGTCGTGATGCATTTGAACGAAAAATTTTGTCAAATGGAAACCTAGTGAAAATTACAATTGCAAATATTTCAGTTTCTTAAAGAAATATATTTTTGAATGCATCATTATTTAAAAAATGTTCTAAGAGTCCTTTATAGAATTAAAATATGAAAACTATTCTAAATATTGTAGAACAAACATCTATTTAATATTTAAAGTTTTCTAATTTTCTCTCGCTGTTAGCAATTGAATTGACAATATTAAACTATGATTTGAATTAGATACAATGCAAATTGGTATCATCTGTCATCGGAAAATCAAAAGTTGTTACTTATCATCATGAGAAAAGGCGCTGAACCTGCAAAATTTGTTGTTGGTAGAATATTTACACTCTCCTTGCAATTTTTTACAAAGGTATAAACATTTTTATGTTGAATAATTATACTTAACATTTTACTCATAATTAAAGTACTTATAGGTTCTTCAAACATCAATGTCCTATTTCACTGTATTGATGGCTGTGCGACGATAAAGTAAAATCTGTTTTTATCTTCTGCGAAATTATTTGATTAGTTCTTTTTAAACGTTCAGCGATAAACAAAGGAATTTAAATATTAAAATGAATTAAAAAAATTAATACTATAAACAATTTATGTATCATTTCGTAGTATGACAATAAACTTTAGCTATTTTAAATTCACGAATGGGTAGATTTTTTTTTACATTACACAATTTCTAATTAAATCCTAGGTTGGATCTTCCAAAAGAACCTATAGACCTACAGAAGAAGTTGTCTGATAATTTCATATGATAGCGTTAATTTTATTGAAAATATACAGAGCATCCAACTTTTTAATCCGATTTCCCGAACTTGTCTTTTAATACGCGCAACCATTCTTTTCTTTTCGATCTTGTGACGCTAATTCTTAATCGCTTTTGGCTGAGAATTGTGGTGAATGACTTAGTGAAATCTGTTTCCCAGCTAGGATTGGCGATGTTACAAGTTTTTGACTCATTATCAAATATACCATTCATTTTGAGAAAACATAGAAGTTGTTTTATGATTCACAAAGTTGGGTAATTTAACATAGAAGCAATTTCATCCGAATTGAGATGCAGAATTTCAAATAAAGATGTATCAGAGATAAGTAAGTTACTTTCCCCATTAAAATTCGTTGGGTTCTTAAGAAGATTACAAAAGGTCTGCAAAAGAATTCTTAAAACAAAATTCTGACATTATGTTTACAATTATAAAAGTAATTCTACTGTTTGTCTTTACAATTTTGTTTCTAGTGACCTTCTGTCTGATTCTTACACTACTCTCACAAAAAATCTGATCTTAACACTCTAGATTTAACAATTCTTTTTTTAACAATTTTACTGCAGAAACAAATATCTAATACTTACAGTAGTAGGTTTCAGTAGGTAAAGAAGAGTGTTTCTGTACCATCGAAAATCGTTATTCAATTGTTTAAACATTAAAAATATTATAATTGTCAATAAATTTCAAGATTAAGTAAATTGTTCAAGTTTGATGCGATAATTTTTTAAAAGAAAGTAAGTGTTAATAGTTTTTATGGTAAAATAATTACATATATTTTATATTGATAATATTTCAAATTAAATTTGTGTTCAGTAACTTATGTTTGATTTTATTTTAAATAATTTATATAATATATAAAGTCCTGATGGCGTTTTCAAGTCCAATAACAAAAAACAGTGAATTTACCGTTTTTTTTCAATTTCAACAATTTTCCTCCAAATCCGAAGCATAAATTAGATCAACTAAAGCCTTGAAAAAATTTTATTATAACTTCTAAACACCCTCGGCATTAGAGGGTTTAAAGGAAATACTTCTAAAATTTTTAAAAATTTAAATGATACTTTCTAAATTTTTTAATTAAACCCCTAATAACACAATATATCTTGGGATATATTGATAATATCCCGCAGATATCCTAGGGATGTCCTATGGATATCAAAAGGATCTCTTAAGGATAACCAAAAAATCGGCGGTTTGGATATCCCATGGATATCTGAGGATATCCACAGGATATCTTCTGGATATCTCTATAGAATTTCATAAATGTCCTCCAGATATCCCATAGATATCGTCAGGATATCCTACAGATATCATCAAGATATCCCATAGATATCGCCAGGATATCCCATAGATATTTTCAGGATATTCTCAGTATATCTTCTGGATGTCAAGAAGATATTCTCAGGATACTGTTTTTAAAGTCATTATGAGACTACGAGTGAGAATATTCTGTGAATTAAATTTTATATAAATAAAATGCAACTTGTTTTTCGAGAAAGTTGTTAAATTTGAAAAATTATTAACTAATTTTTTTCTCATTCGTGATTCATTTCTTTATTCATATGCTTAATATTGTCAGAAAATAAATTGGCTTTAAACAATATTAATTCTTTCCCGCAAATAACGAATAACTATTAATATTAATTATACATTAAGTGCATGAGTTTATTTAAAAACTTTGAAAAATGCGTTTCAAATCTTCATTTAAAATAAATTAGAAGCTCATAAGATTTTTGTTTTTATTATATTATTATTCATTATATTAGCTTAACAATTTTAACCTTTAAAAATATATGTTGAGATATTAAATATCCCGTGAATATCCTAAGAATATCCCACGGATATCCTGCGATATAATATCCAATAGATATTTTGTGTATGTCTTAGGAATATCCTGTGGATATCCTATGGATGTCCTGTTGATGTCCCACAGACCGGCGGTTTGGATATCTCAAGATATCCAGGGGACCATTCTAGGATATCGACCATTGATATGGATATCCTAGGGATATCCTTTTGTTATGAGGGACAGGCTTGTTTTGATAACAAATTTATTCTCTGGGGTCACTTTGACCCCAGTGTGGCAGCTAACGGTTAATAATAGTTTCGATATTATAAAAAATTAGACAATTCCTGATGATTTTTTTTTGTTGTCTCTTAATATCAATTAATTCTTTCCAAAGTTCCTCTTAACTTACAATAAATTATTGACGGTTTTGAATGTAGATCTACATCTTTAATGAATTGTAAAATACCATTCTTTGAAATCATTAAATTATTAAGTTAAATTAATTATACAAATGAATTTATCAAAAGATTGGTAACCTTTTTTTAAATGTTTTTTTATATAAAATATTTCTGTCATAAGTTATAGAGCATAAAGCATAGATATTTCTATATATTTATATCTCTTTTACAAAATAAGATTTCGTTTTCTTTCGTAAGTGTAGGATTTCCGTAAGTCTCAACACAAATCGCCTACGTCGAAGATACAATATTTTGTTCGTTTTTCTCCCACCCTTTGAGAAAGGCTTTTCAACAAATAGCTGTATTTCTTTTCTTGAAAAGGACAAAAAACTCGGACACTATTTTCGTGGTTTCATTTCCTTTCTAATGTCATATAAGCGTCTTTTGGCGAGCTGTTAGGGAATTACATTGAAAGACTATGTGTGGCGAAAAGCTCTCTTTTTATTTGAAATATACTGACAAAAAAATGTATAAAACATTGTCGAGACACTATTTTTCTTTGAGTTTCTATTCCAAAAATTGATAGACGCAATCATTTATATTTGTGTTTTATTATTTATTTTGAACGAAAAATTATAAACTAGTAAAAATCATAAATTTTTATAATATTTGAAAAAAAAAAATATTGTACCATATTTATATGATTTATTCATTTCACGGGCCTTCCAATGCAAAAAAAAACCGTAATTTTAATTTATCTGTGTCATACCAATATATAAAGTGAATGTCATCTACAGAAGTTTTTTTTAGAGAAATTTTTTTTTTGATAAAATGTAGAAATTTTATTTTCACAACCAGCTATTATTATTTAAATTTGTGAAGTTTCCAAATATTTTATTTATTTTTTTTTTATACAATGACGTTTAATAACAATAATTTCTTATGTACACAGTGACAACAGGAAAAATTGTAATTACAATTTTCACTTTAACCAAATCCCACGTAGATACAAAAACTTTTCAAAGAAATCTTTTACACTCCAAGATCCGTTGTGAATAAAATCCTTTCAAGAACGTTTCTAAGTTTCACAGTTTTCTACTATATATAGAACATGTTACTTTAAAGTTTACCTCAAAAAAGAAATATAAATTGTGCTAAAGTCTCAAAAATGACTGGAATATTATTGTTTTATTAAAATACAAAAATTCTTCTTGTGAAGGTATACAATTTTGTTTTAAAAAATTTTTCTCATTTCTATCATTTATCTAATGTTTTTTTTTTTTGTAATATACAGTATATTTAATAATTTATAAAACTAAAGAAAGCTACAAAATGAATATTTAATGGAAAGAAAAAGTATTTCTTTTCTCTCTTTGGTAGTTTTCCTGTCACGTTTTAACTTTGACCTAGGAACATAACTTTCACAAGAATCACCCACGTCTTCGCTTTATGACACCTGTTTGCTATCATTTTTGCCGAAGGCTTTTCACTTGGTTCTTCATATCGAATGTTTATTTTCGATATATATGTTTTTTGAGCCAACAAATTCTGGTCCTATATATATGTATATGACTTTTACGTTTCAATTTCGCGAATACTTTTTTTTTTTTTTGTTTTTTTTTTGATGAAAAGAATTATATTGTAAAGAATAATTTTTGGATAGAAAACTATTTTTATAATTTTAAAAATATCGCTTTAACTTAATATCGATGAGAATTTGTTTCTTTTTATATCCTACCTTAAAAAAAAAATGGTCAGTCACTTTGCTTTTGAAAGTTTTATACTTGAATCTGTTTTTTCCTTTTTTTTTTGCTGTTGAACTCTTCGGTGGCTATTTTTTTCTATTCATAAAAATTGATTGGTCTTGCCAAGAGTTTGAAAAGCAAAAGGGTGTGAGAAAGGCAAGACGTCGAAGTACTTGCTACACACTATGAGGTTGCTGACAGTCGACAAATCGTTGGCCGTCTCAGCTCGACGCGAAAGATCAGATTTATAGCTTTAAAACATTTTAAAGCAGACGAAGTCGACGTTGCGTAAATATTACAAGCTTTGCAATTTTCCCATAACTTAAAAGTGACGCTATACTTGAAAGGTTAAATAATTATTTTAAATAATGAGTTTTTACCTCTAGAACTACATCAAAGGACTTTTTGCATAGTTGGTTTTTATTTTTCATATTTTATTTTTTTTAACCTTCTCACAAATTTTTTTTTTTTTACTTAATTAAAAATCACATTAGTTGGAATATGTACTGTTATGTCACAGATTAAATTTTTTTTAATAATTTTATTTATTTTTATTAAATTTTTCTAAACTAATGAACCTATAATCTTTTCTTAATGTATTTTTTTTTTCAAAAAAATGTCGATCTTCTAAACTTTTAGAATGAAAAGTAGGTCAAAAGAAGATAATAAAAAAAAAAACACCCAAGTATCTTTGGTTTACCTATGGAGCTGTTTATAATTTTGAATACAAAATATAAACCCCTCGCGGAAAGGTTTTATATCAACATTTATATTGCAGAAAACGTAATAATTTTTTAAAGCCTTTATATGCTAACCAGCAAAGATGGAGAAAAAAAAATTAGCACTATAATGTTTCTGCGTCTGTTGCATAACGTAAAATATACTTTATATAAAAGTTTTATACTCTATATAATAAGAGTTTTATAACCCTGAGAATAACACGAATTTTTAGTTAGCTTTATTTATATATGTCACAAAAAGAAGAAAAGAATTTCGATTCTCTAGAAAATGAAAATTCATTTGAAAATTTGAAAGAGAAAAGTATATTCAAAAGTCACACAAGTTTTATTTGGATTCTGACAAAAGTTTGAAAATCAAAAAGAAAACTTTTTGCGAAGCATGTGTGAAACATTGCACTCTATACATATATATATGTATAGATGTGCGGCACTCATATGAACAGTAGAAAAAGAAGAAACGAAGAACCGTTGAGACAAAATTGAAATTCGAGGTTACCAAGAAGCTTATATGAAAGTAAAATAAATGATGGGCAAAAAAAGAAGAAAGTTTTTTTTTAAATATTTGAAAAAGTTTGCTGATATACTATCTCAATATGTAAATATAGTTTCGTATACAATTGATGTAAATTTACAACACAAAAAAAACAATTCTTATATTGAAAAATATATCGGTCATTCTTTGTCAAAAAAACACCCCCTCAGTACAGAATAGATTTAATTGAAAAATGCTCCATATGGGCTTAAATTTACAGCAAATTTTGTCTATTTTTTGATGCCTAATGACTTTTTTTAAAATAAAAATCGATTATCGGCACAGAAATCTACATTATCGACTGATGGTAAAAGCAGGAAAATGGCGATATAAAAAATTACCGACACAGAAACCCACATTACCGACTGAGTGTAAAACAAATTTCAATTTAAAAAATTCTTCCTCTTTACCATCAGTCGGTAATGTAGATTTCTGTGTCGGTAATTTTTTATATCGTCATTTTCCTGCTTTTACCATCACTCGATAATGTAGATTTCTGTGTCGATAATCGATTGCAATTTTTTAAAAAATCAGTTTTAACCTTGTCTTAACAAAATAATAATAATAATAATAATAATAATAATAATAATATTTTTTCTGTAATTTAAGCCCATTTAGAGCTTTTTGGAATTAAATCTATTCTGGGCAGAGGTGGTACGTGTCTTTTTGACAAAGAATATTATATTGAATATTTATTTTGAATTTGTGGAAAGAAAAATTAATTCATTTAAATTAATACAATTTATTTATTATCAACAGTTTACATTTTCCTCAAATATTATCCCATTAAATTTGAAATGTTATATTTTATAATAGAATATATAATATACATGTCATAAGTATTTGAGTTTCAAGCGTTAATTTTTAAATGAAATTTAATTTGTTTAATTAATTTGAAAATAGAGCAGAAATATTTCATTAACTTCATCAATTTCGAGAACAAATTAATATCATATTTAATATAATAATATGATACATAGTCTCATAATTCAAAATGAATCCCTGTCTATTGTTATATTATTGAAAATTTTAAAAATCATTTATAAAATAACAATCTATGGATATTTGATTTAATTAATTTTTATTATGTATTTATTTATATATCCTAGGCAATTTTAAAGGATAATCCACGTTCTGTTCGCTAATTTTATTACTCAAAATCTTTTAATACTAATTTAAATTTGTATACATATATATTGTGGAACTAAAGACAGAATTAAGTTGTCGTCGATCGAGTAGATTTAAATGTAATTCCTTTATTTTGTTGGCGCTTACTTAAGTCGACCCTTTAATCAAGATCTTGGCGTCGCTTGCAAAAGCAGCCTTAGCATTAAACTCTTGAATCAATATGCAACTTCTGTTGATATTATGATAGAACAACTAATTGCTTGCTTTTCGTCTCAAAGGTATTGGTCCGGTTTCATTGAATGAAATTCAATTAACCTTTACTAAAATTAGTTCACGATACTTTGTTTACACTTGTGGTTGTTGTATTCAAGTAAGACTTCATTATATATATACAATACTATATCTTTTAATTAATAAGGATTGGCAAATTGTAACAATCTAAAATTTTACTTCAAACAAGATACTGATTTTAGTAAATATATTAAATTCAATTTGAAAAATAAATCAAAAAATTACATAATAAATAAGGGGAATATAATTAATTTTAATAGACGTGACTTAAGATAGATGATGAAAATAATATTAAAACGAAAAATATCGAATACGATCAAAATTTTGCGTGTATCAATATATAATTATTATATTAATTAAAATATGATTTTACAAAAAGTAGTTTTTCTGCTTAAAAAAAAAATCAATTGTATCGAATTCTAGATTTGTTATTCCGATTTGGCAAGAAAATAAATTTTAAAAGTACAATTTAAATGTATCAAGAGAAAAATAGTTGAATTAAAGAGAATTGTAAGCTATATAAATTGTTATAAGAGACATTTGAATTCTAAAAACAAATTAAGAAAATAAAATTCAAAAAGTTTTTTGAAAATTTTTTTTAAAGATATTTTTTGTTAAAATTTTCAAATAATTTAACAAAAGAAAAAAAATAATTGTGTTTTTCACTGTAATTTTTATAAGAATTTTTAGAAAAATTATATTTAGCCAATTTTTTTTTGTACGTATATAAAAGTACATCAAGAAAGTAAGAAAAGTACATTTTCTGAAGTTCAACTAACTCATTCAACTTAGTTAATTAGTTAACTTACTGTATATAAAGTTACAGACGCTTTCTCTCAGAGCCTTCAACTGTAGCTCTCTCTCTCTCTCTCTCTCTCTCTCTCTCTCTCTCTCTCTCTCCCTCTCTCTCTCTTTTACCAACAAACTATCTCTCTTCTTTTAATTTGCACCTTCCACCAGAACTTTCTTTGTCTTTACAAGTCAGAAGACTTGTGAGTTTGATTATTTAGATTATTGTTTTCAAATAAACTACACGATACAGTAAGATAATAGATTTTCAAAGTGAAAAAACAAGAAAATTTAATTGAAAATTATTTTAAAAAATTAAAAATTTTCTACACTTGTTGGATTTTGTTGTTTAATTACCATCACAAATATAATATAGTAATAAAAAAAAACAAAAATTTTATTATCAAATTTTTTAACCTTTTTTTACACGTACAATTACTTGTAGAGTTTTTCATTGTAAAAAAAAAATGTAAAAATTTTGTTTCTAAAAGTTAGATTCATTGTATATATTCTGTCTCTTTGAAAAAGAATAGTTCCAGGGGGTTTTGACTTTTATGTATTTTATTTTAAGCACCATACGATTGATTCGAATAAAAGCCGTGCGAATACATGAAAAAGTTGTCCTGATCCTCGAAATACGGCGCAATGCTTGGGGACCACGATAGCGTTGCCAAGTAATTAAAACTGTAGAGGATGAACGGATCTTTGGCTCGGTTGAAAAATGCGGGTCCATTTTACGGTGAAAATACGAGTGGAACTTTCTTGCCAAAGAAACCAAATCCCGTATTGCTATTGCACTTTTGTTCTTCCTTAAAATGCGCTCAACGAATTTACTGCGGATTGCAACTTTTCGAAGAACTTCGATTACATTTTTACTTTGACGAATTTTTCACATATTTTTATATACATTGTTTTTTTTGTCAATATTATTTTTCATATATATATATATATATATTTTGATCCTTTAACAATACCACGCCCAAAAATTAAATTGAAAATATAAAAATTTTACTTGAGAGAAATAAAGAATTTGTGATATCGCAATTTTAATTGAGGAAATTAATTTCAAATTCATATGTACGTCACACAGATAGATTTAGAACAATCTTTGGAGGGATTGAGTTAGTTCTGTTAGTTTAAGGGTGACACATGTGTGGATGGGACGAGACGACAAGTAATTGATATTGGTGAAGGGATGGAATTCCACTTTCATACTCTGTTGAAATAGATGCATGAAACCACATACTGTCTTAATCTCAGTGGACCATGCACGTATATATGTTTGCAATCAGACATGCGGAAACGCTTTTGTCATTTGAATTTAGAGATCTTTAATGTCGCGATATTTATCACTTGACACGTTCCATTTATTTAAATGAAAACAGAGAGAGAGAGATAGAGAGAGAAATGCGATAAAAAATAAAGGTATAAGAACATCTGACGTTACTTTTCTTCAATAGAAAGAAAGAAGAAAATTTTTTCCTATTTTTTTATTTTTTCATACTTTACTTTCATACTTTTTGTTAATTTTAATCTTATATGGATTCACAAAAAATGGTAATAAAGAAATCAAATAAGTAAATTTAATAAAACTGACTGAGGCTAACAATAAGTTACTATTACTAAAGATACTCTCGAGAAATTACTTTTCGATAGAGAGCAGATACTAGTGTTATAAAAATGTCTCCAAAAGCTAATTTAGAAAAACGTGTTCAAAACTTAAAAGCAAGGATTACTTAAAACTCTAAAGAGTATAAAAATAAATTCAAATCTAGAAAATAAAGTAATAAAAATGAGCTTTAAAAAGACATAAAAAGTAATTTAATTTTTGAAAAAAACAATTATATTAAAAAAAATTGATAGTGTGAAATTCATTTATTTAGAATTTTTGTAAAATCAATCATTAATCTTAACATATTAACAAGTATGAAATACCAAATATTTTTACATAAGTACTTATTTTTACATTTTTGTTTTTCAAAATTTCGCAGGTAATTAATAATATTTATATCCTGGAGCACGCTCCTATTATTTTCATCAGCTGAAGATGAATCGCTTGTAATTGACAGTATTATCACGAGAGCGGACGCTCTTATTTGTTGTCTCTTTAGTGATGTCTTATTAAGTATTCCGTACTCCATCTTCACTATCCTTTCTTGATATAATCATCCTAATTTTTTATCTGAAACATATAAAAAAAAAGAATATTTTTATTTTCTAATTTAGAATCAAGTTTTAATTAATAAAAATAATTCATTTTCAAAATATTTCTTCATGCACAATTGAAATCATATTCACAAGGAGAATGACAGAAGTTTAAACTCGAATTTTGAAATAGAATTTGTAGCTTATTTAAACTACAAGAATTGCACACACACACACACACACACACAGAGAGAGAGAGAGAGATGAACTCTTACTGTTATCTCTGATAATATTAAAACCCAACTTAAAATTTTATTATGCGCCAGTCTCTTGCAACGTGCGAAGATTGTTCAATGAGAGTTTAATATTTCTTTACAGCTGAAAAGAGTTTAGTTGGCGATGAATATTCAAACGATTGGAGTGCAATCCACTTGGCCCGTACAAAATACTTGAGGTTTTTTTTTTTTATTTCTAAAGAAAAAGTATTCGTCCCGTATGGTCTTATGAATATATGATAATTAACTTTGCAGTAGTAGTAATCTAATTAGAGACTATATGTCTAGTCGGTAATTATATTAATACAAAAACATAATCTTATTATCTAAATTCAGATTTATGCGTAACTAACAACTGTAAATGCCGAGGGAACTTTATTTCATTTAAATATTTACTTTAAAATTAGATCGTACAAATATTTTCGTTAAAAAATTTTTTCTGACTGTGTAAATTAAATTGTTAACTTACAAGGATTAAATGAACGTAGAGAGAGAGAGAGAGAGAGTAAGCTTGAAAGATGATTTAAAAACAGGAAGGCAAACAGTAGGAAAGATAAAGTTACAATGTTTAATGTAATTAATCATTGCCTAATTAACGTTCTCGTATTGGTTGCTATAGAGGGAGTGAGAGAGAGAAGCCCAAGAGAGAGAGAGAGGAATGTTGAACGAGGGTACTAGTTTCGCATGGTGAAACGAACAGAGTTTGCATTGCTATTTGATATGCAAATGGGCCTTTGTGATTGTTATTACGAGCGGAATCCTTCTCTTCAGCTTGGACGGGGTGGCATCCTCCTAGAAGCTTTAAGCTGGTTCGATAGTCTTGGCACGATAATGCTTGAATAACGCTTGAATGACAATAAGAAATTTTACTTCGTGAATTGCTTCTCTGTTGTAAACTTTCAACCGCGCGCGCACTTTACAAACTTGATTTCCACCTCCCTCCCATTGAGAGCATTTTATATTGAAACCTTTTACGCGGTTTCATTTTCAATATCGAATCAACTCATTCTCTCTCTCTTTTATCAAATAAATCCAGCAACGCTTATGATATTGTGCTGTTGTTTTATGAATAATTATAAAAGAGGTCGTCGCAAGCATAAATCTTATTGGCAATATTTTGAAGTATATATGGTATATATAATTTATATTTCTGCAAACGCGAGCGGATGTATATTTATGATATTAACGTATGCAAAGTTTAAAAGCTCCCGTAACAATAATCTGGTTATTCGTTTTAATTGATTTATCACTAATGGGTTAATAACATGAAATTTGGCAAAAGTGCTAATTAATAATTTTCACATTAATAGATAAAGATATATGTATATATTTATAACACAATAATTTATGAGAGGGTAAAATATTTGTAAATAAATGAAACTATAATAATTTGATCAAAATGATTAATAAAAAAAGCGAAAATAATAATTATTATTATAACTTGCTTTATCATAAATTTTAATTTCCCCAATAATTGTTATATTATACAATGAAATGTGTATAATGAAAAATAAGTGTTTTCAATTTTTTTAAAAACTACACATGGAATATTTTTTGATATGTAGCAGACTCAGTTTCTGAGGTCACGCCATTAATCTACTACTGCAGTTAGTTAGAGCACGCGAACGATGCCAGCAGATTGCACACAGTTGAAATGATTAATTGCTTAGAATAAATACAGCCATTAAGAATGGATCTAAATAATGATTCATCACACACTTGACTATTAATATTTCTAGTGCAATCCATTTTCACGTAACTCTATTAACGGATGAAAATTAATTTTTTTTAGCATTGTTTCGTGTTGAAATTGTAAAATAAAATCTTTACTAATTATTTTTTAATATTGAATTTTTTTTACAATCAAGTTCATGGATAATATTACCTACTAGCTTTCGTACCCGCCTTCGGCGGGAGCGAAATCTAGTGGTGTGCGCCCAACAGTATTTTCGTGCAAATAATTTTTTGTATAGATAGTCGCCTCAGGGTAATATTACATGTAATATTGAGGCAATATTACAAAGTGATATTAAGGGAATATTCCCTCAATATTACACGGTAAGATTTAGAAAATTAAAATTAAGTCTTTTTTTCATTAAATAAACAATTGATTGCAATTTATACGCTTTCAACGTTACCATGTATTTTAACAATTTTTAAATTTTTTCAACATTACTCTGTAATATTCCCTCAATATTACCGGGTAATATTGCCTCAATATTACATGTAATATTACCCTGAGGTGGACATTTTAAGATTACTGTAAGGTTACTGTAATATTACAGCTAACATTACGAATCTTAAATGTAATATTCCCTTGATATTGAGGCAATAAAACGTGCTACTTAGGAATGTATGTAATTTATTTCATTATAAAATTAAAAAATATTTTTCTAAAATATACAATTTCATAAGACAATACAAATTATTATTTAAAAAAATTTTTTAAATTAATTTAAAAAATGAAATTTAATCATCAAAACTTACCACAAAATTTAAATTTTTTTTAAAATTTTATAAATTCCCAAAAAAATATAGGTTACTATTAAACCCTTTTTATTTAAACCTGTATTAAATTTTCTTTAAATTTCGCAAATAAACAATTTTAAAAATATATTTAAAGAATAAAATATAATTATAAAAAATTATTACAAAATTAAAAAATATTTTTTTAAAATTTTAGAAATTAATTTCTTTTTAAACTAAGCATTCTAATTATCTTCAAAAATACATCCATGTTAAATTTTTTAAATGTATTTTCGAAGATAATTAGAATGCTTGTTAAAAAAATTATAAAATGACAAAAAGAAATATTATCAAAATGAATGTCAAAAATTTTTTTTAATTATTTATTTTAAATACCTGAAAAATAATCTTCCTTTAGTCGATGGCTTAAAATATTTGATTTAATATAAATTGATTATTTTATTATTATTATTATTATTATTATTATTATTATTATTATTATTATTATTATTATTAATGTTATATATTAATAATTATTATCGATTATAATTAATTGTTTTTATCTGTATCGATTTTCTTGCTTCTTTCCATTAACATCTGTCAAACGTGTTGACAAAATAAGACAGTGAATTGCGAGAATGAAGTTAGCAAATAATCAGTTGAGACAAAATCGAAACAGCATTATGAAATTTTATTTAAATAATTATTTTCAAATTTTAATTTCTTATACTTTTTTTACAACTTAAAATCTTTTAATATTATTTAAATTATAATATTAAAATAAAAATCTATAACCCGAAAACAATAATTATAAAAAGGTTGTAACTAAAAAAACATTTTTTCATTTCTTTATATTTGTCATGTTTTTTAATTCTAAAGTTAAAATTTGATTAATTGGACTCAAAAACATAGCTCTAAAAAAGGTTTAATAAAATATAACAGAAATTAAATTTAAAAAATTTGATTTTTGGAATTTTTCTTCACAATTTTAAATCTATCAGTTATTTTCTCAATTTCAAGGTAAAAATGCGATTAATTAACCTCAAAAAACTTCTAAAAAAAAACTAGTAAAAATAAGCGAAAAAATTTTGATTATTACAAAAAGTGCCATAACTTCCGTTCAAGTTAATATTTTTTAATGGGGTATGGCTAAGATTTTAAGTTAGTCTAATACCTAAAAGAATGCTAAGTTTCACTTAAATCGAAGAATTATACATGAATTTTTAAGTTCTAAGCAATGTACAGACAAAAGTCTAATTTTATTAATATAAATTTTATCCACTGACGTTTTTGTTTCTATATTTTTAATCATCCAAAAAATTCTAATATTTTACTAATTAGAATATTTTATTTTGGTAATTAAAATTTGTTTCTAATTTTCGATTTGTGCCAGAAACCAGCCGGGAATAAATAACATCAAAAATTGATTTATTCTCGGTAAATTTAATCTCAACTTTTCGACTCTATCTCCAATAAAGTTCTAAAATATAGCAATCTTTATCATTTTTTTTTTAATAATTTAATCAAAGTAGAAGAAACATAACCTCACTTATTCACGTGCTTCGCGGAAATAAATTATCTCTCGGAATCAGCAATCACGTACAAAAAAAAAAAAAAAAATTTGTTCACAATATTAAATTATTTTTAGAACCTCATTTTTTTCACCTAACCTAACCAAAATCAATCAAATTTGACAATTAATACAAACGCGAGAGCAATTTAATTTTTTCGGAATTCAGATTTACATTTTAATAAAGAATAACCATTTACCTGAGACATTTTTATTGATGAATATCAATACTTTAAGAACAATAATATCAATACTTTTATTTTTTAATAATTTTTTGTTAAAATTTTACTTTTTCAATAATTTTGCGATAAAACTTTACATCTATATCGATGTTAGAGAACAGAGATTGAATGACGAAATGAGAAAATCTTTTAGTAGTCCGTCTGCTAATCGCGCCAACCAATCAGCGTCGATTCTCAGTCACGTGATCGCTGAGACTCGAAAAATAAAAAACCAGTAAAGTATCAATGTAAATTTTCTCCCTATATCTCGATAGCAAATTGAACTTAAAATCTTATTCAGAGTTTAGGTTATGTGTAAATATTTAAGAATAAAATCCGATATATTCGCAAATTTAGTCTAGAATAAGTGAAAAGTCATTATCTTTGACTTGGAAGTAATTAAATATTTGTTCAGCAACTGGAGGGTTCCTCTGGGGCGACATCCGCGACTGTATTTAATATTTCATCTACAGCGGTGCTCCATTACCAATTAGTGCGGTAAAATTTAAATATTCTTTAGTTTCTCCTTCCCTCAACAAAGTGAAATAAATTAAAATAAATAAATAATAATAAAAAAAATAGTAAATAAATAAATCTATTAATAAACCAATTAAGGTTAATGATAATCTTTTTTATGAAAAATTAGAAAAATTAATTTTTTTTCATCTCTCCACTTAAAAACGGAAACTCTGTTATTAAATTTAAAAATAAATAAACGGATAAAAATTTGTGTGAAAAATGAAAATAGCTTTCCAAATTTTTCCAATAGTTGGAACTAGATTAATCTCAGAGCTCTAAAAAAAAAACAGAGCAGTTTTGATGTAAAAGGATCACGTCAAAGGTGGAAGTTCATCTCTCACTCTCGCAATCTCACTTGGTGGAAAATTGGCAATGAAACTTCCATTGGGGTATAGTATGACTTTCAGGAGAATTGGTGATAAAAGTTCCCGTTAACACGCTATACTATGACCAAAAAATTACAAAGAATTCCCTTTGACTTTTGTAAAAATTGCATACATACAATTTTTTACCAGTCAACGAAATCATTGCCCAAGTTTAATAACGAAACGTGTACAAAAAATCGTACCACTTTTTTTGTAAAACAAATATCTGATATATATAAAAAAAAAGAAATTTTCTTTCTTACTATATGAGAAAAGGACTAAAGGATGAGAATTTTATTTTCTGACTCTTTGTGTCCAACAAAATTTCTTTTATCATTAGTCAATCAAATTATCTGGCTCTTCTTAAGATTACACAGAAGCACCCTAGGGCTTGCAATCATCTCGTCGACGAGAGAACTACAAGAGTTGTTGCGAGAAAGCAGCAAAAGGATATGAAATAAGAAAAGAAAACTTGAGTAAAATTGCGAGAGCAGCCAGACAGATTTTAATGTTAAGAAAAAAAGAAAGAGAGGCGTAATTATATTTCACAGCTTTTTCATTGTGAAAAAAAAAAAATAATAATGTAGTCCGTCTTTTCATTCAGAGAAAATAGCCTCAGACAATGTACCTGTCCGGCAGCTAAAAAGGCACATTTCAAAAGTTTAACGTAATTTTATATAAAAGTCTAGCAAAAAAAAAAAAAAAAAAAAAAAAAGTTTTCATGTTATTGATGAAAATGAAAGATGGAAGTTTGTTTCACGTTCATTAAATAATTGGTTTCATTTTATAAAGAACATTATTGTGTTTCAATTTTTTATTTTAGAACTCTTTATAATTATTGATTATACGCTTCCGTTTATTCAAAAAAGTACGAGGTACATTTGTAAAAAATTTCGACATTTTTTAAAATTTCAAACCTTCTTTCTTCATAGATTTATTAAAAAACCGCGTGCTTTATTAATTATTAAAAATTCATATTGTAATTAAAAATTGCGCTGATTTTTTTTCATTCATTAGATGAATAAAAATTATGAAACAAGCTATCAACTGAAATTCTAAAATTCCGATTTTATGACATACAAAAAGGATATAAAATATTGTCTATAAATAATTCTTTAATTAAAATTTATATAGCACACAAAAAATACCTAGCTATAAACTGAATACGAATGATAAACATTTATTATCATTGTATTGATTGTATTATTTTTTATCCTCTACTTATTTGAAAAATTTTAAAATTGTAAAATTATTAATTCGATTTAAAAATAAAAAGTGGAAAGAGAATAAATATCAACCGGTGAATTTTCATTTTAGAAGAGATTGTTAGTGGTATGAGTCGTATCTTTATTGAAAACATTAAAGTTTACTCACAAATTTATAATCCTCTATCTCTCTCTCTTTCAAAAAAGGAAATCAGTTTTTAAAATGCCTCTTTCTAGATACACCAACTAAAACGTTCTTTGTAAAGTCTCTACTGCCTTTAAAATCCACTCAGCTCCTCACCACTTTTCTCTCACAGTGAAAAGTGAAAAGACTTATGTTTTCTTTTTATATAAGACAAAGCGTCGTCTCACTTTTCTTATCTACAAAGAAATAGTATTTCAACGGTTCTCAAAAATAAATATCAAAAGCACGTCTTGGTTTAAAAAGTTAATGACCAACACTGCCGTCAACTTATTCTCAAGATGAGTATAGGATCTATAAAGCTGTTTTTTTTTTTTTTTTTTTTTTTTTTAAGAAAAAGAAAAACAAAAAGAGAAAACGAGTCTTTCTGAATAAAATAAATTTATTCACTTCCTAACGTTAGAAGGACCATTGCTTATTAACACGATTATAAACTGAATGGAAACAGGAGTAATTATAGGTAGCTGGATTTGAACATACAGAATCCTGTAATTTGGACACGTTGTGTTTAATTTTGAATAAGCCATTGGGATAATGGCAATTGATCTGATAAGCTTTCTTGAACATTAACAGAGTGGTTATTTTAGGTATATCTGCACTTGCATTAGTTCTCATTTTCAAAATGCTTCTCTAAATGTACATCTTCATTATTCTTTATTTAAGATTTATACACTGAAAAAAAATTAATTAATTCAAATAATCGGTTATATTTAAATATTTACTTGAACCAAATAAGTTTTATTTAATTAAATAAATTGTATTTGAATCAATAATTTCTATATATTTGAAACAAATATTTAATTTACTCAAAAATTATTTGGTTCGAGTAAATATTTATTTAATAATAGTTAAGTAACCAATTGTTTAAATGAGATACATTTTTTTCATTACTGAAAGAGTGTAATCTTTGATTTTCAATCTTTTTTTGCAATACTCGTTATCTTTGTTTATGCTGTTGCTAATTAACAAACGAAAAATGGGATAATACTTAGAATCTCTTGAAGAGGATCTGAGGTAAAAATTCTCATGTCTAACTTATTTTTTTAAATTTTAATTAAACTGAAATAATTAGCGTTCGGATTTACCCCGGCTGACCCTATCAAATCTACCAAAAATAATTTAATATTCCCATTTAATTAAGAAATTATAGAAATAGAAATTAAATTTAATTTAATAGCTGATTTTCAAACTTTAGAAAATAAATTAATCACTGCCGCGGAGTAATCCTACTCTACCCCAATTCGTTGGTTTGCAAGCGCGCCTCAAGATACACAAAGCTTTGCAACACTAGCAACACTTAAACCACTAATTGTTAGTTTAAACGATAATTGGTCATTATTAGAAATTCCCAGAGGCTGTTTTCCTCTATTCAATCATGTTTTTAACCATACTTTAATTTTTAAGTCTTAAAAGTTAATAAATAAATTTACAATTATAATTAATATTTAATATCTCTTAAATATAAAAAAACTGCTACTTTTAATTATAAGAATCAGTAATAGTAATTATCCATTTTTTTTAAAAATATGTATTATATAATTTTAGTTAAGTATTTATGGTTCCTTTGGTCTGTAGGGTCTTGTCTTAAAATTGATTGATAATTTTAACTTATTGCACATTAAATAATATGACATCTAACTTAAGGGGTAACATCACCCAGAGCACGTAAAAAATAGTCTATTTCAATAATTTATTTTAAGAAAACGATACAGTAAAATGATGTTGGTTTTTTTTTAAAAACGTAAAACACATGTATTAAACTAAACTAAAACGAAATTTTTTTTTCAAATTAGCGCCTTTACATCACTTCAACCAAAACTACGTTTTTTAAAACAGCCTCAACGGGAGGAAGGTTTTCCACTTTCCATGAGTATCTAGACAAAAAATTCAAACGAATTATAAAAGAAGATGTTATTTGCTAGAGAACTACGTAGGATCGCATGTCGTTTATGACAAAAATGTCATTTTTGAAAGAAAATTCAATCAAAAAATAGCTGTAGAATGGAAATGCATTAACCAATTTAAAAAAATTCTACGTACTTCCCTAAGGAATAGTGTCCTGAAGCTTTGGTCTTCAAATTTCAAGTAAATCCGTTAAAAACTGTGTAAATAATCTTTCCACTCATTTTAAAAAATCTATTTTCGAGAAAAACGAGTTTAAAGTTTGCAGTCATAAGAACATAAGTCAACATTTTAAAAGTTGAGCTACGCTCACAAAAATTACTCCTCGGAGGTTTTAGGGGACGCTGATTACGAATCCAATGCCAGTTTTTAAAAATTCAAAATAGCGGATCCAATATGGCGCATGACAAAATTAACCCCTTAACTGCTGATGACGACAAATTTGTGCGTAAAATCTTCGTCATCGCAGTTAAGGGGTTAAACAAGTTGTAAATTCAGATGTTCATTACATGAACATTTTGCTTCCTCTTTACGATCAGCAAAAAAATTTGCTTCCTCATGGAGAGTACATTTGAGTACCTATACATTTGAGTTAAATTAAAAGAATTAATGGAAGTTAAAAAATCAAAAAGTCACATTTTAGCTGAAATTTCTAAAAATTAATGAAAAATAATATATAATTTATAATTATTTACAATTATATTAGTTTGTTTCAATGCAAGGAACACAATTATTTTATATTTAAACTTGAATTTAAATAAATACAAAATTTTTTAGCTAAAATGGGAATTTTTTTTTTTAACTTTCATTAATTTATTAAATTTACTCAAATATATATAATTTATATATATACCAGTCGATTCGTTTTTATGCCAGGAATACAATTATTTCATATATATAAACTTCAATTTAAAAAATCACAAAATTTTATTGCCAAAATGTGAATTTTTGATTTTTTAACTTTCATTAATTCTTTAAATTTAAATTAAAACTATACTTTATATATACCAATCGATTTGTCTTGACGTAAGGAATACGATTTTATTATATATAACCTTAAATTTTTTTATTTAAAAATTTTTTCGATTAAAAAAAAATTTTTGGAAAAAAGACGATAAAATTTTTTTTTTGGGTATTTTTTAAAATCCTTTGGTCAGATTTGGGTTAGTAAGATCATAAATGAGCTTACCAAATTTTATCTAAATCCATTAAAACCTGTTAAAGTTATGGTCTAAACAAAAACACACACACACACAGATCCGGACAATTTTGATCAGGATCTCATATAACATGTTTCTATATAGAAAAAAATTTGTTTCCGCCACTTTGAAAATTTTTATAAACAAAAGGACTACAAAGCTTCCTCCACGAAGAAGCAAAATTTAACAGATTTACATGAAACGTATTGCTGTGGGGGTTTTTTGGGTCGCTGATTACGAATATGACGTTAGTTTTTAATTTTTTCTTTAAAATTCAAAATGTCGGATTACAAATTTTCAAAGTAAAGCTAAGGATGCAACAATCATCACCGAGGGTAGTGATTTCTGAATTCATTTTTTAATTATATTAAATTTTCTTACTATGCAATGCAATGTGTCTTTCTGCTGAAAATTATTTTTTAAAAATAGTTCCATGTTTTTTTCGACTTAAAACAAATAGACCTTTTCATGCTGATCATTCTGTCCTTATCTAGCACATACAATGACACATGAGTTGGAAGAGGACAGAATGATCAGCATAAAAATGTCTATGGAATATTATTTCTAACACTCTTTAACAATTTAAAGCAAAAAAATTCGATTTCTTAAAAATGTTTGGATGATATTACCCCTTAAATGTATTGAATTTAGGAAAATATAAATAAAATATAAACAAAAACAAAATATAATTAATAATAATAATTTTAAAAAAATTTTAAAAACGTTGAATTGTCAAGAAAAAAAATGTAAGCTTTTATCTTGGTCTGAAAAGAATAAACTATTTTTAAATATCAACAAATGTAAAACAATATCCTTTTCTACATCTTCGAATTTCATTAATAATAACTATTTTGTTGATAAAAAGGTACTTTTGAGAGTGTCCACGATTGTCGACCTTGGGGTAATGATTAACAACTCATTTTCCTTTGTAGATCATATTACTTATACAATTAATAAAGCTACCCGAGCCTTGGGTTTTGTCATTAGAAATGCGAAATGTTTTCAAAATCCTTTTGTATTGAAAAAATTGTACTTCGCACTAGTTAGGCCTATAATTGAATTCGTCTCTGTACTGTGGAAACCTTATCAGAGCTACCTGTTAACTGACATCGAACGTGTTCAGAACAGATTTCTTCGTTTTATGGCTAAACAGACTGGTGTACCAATTGATTATCATAATCATGACTACACAGACATAAGATTAAAATTTTATATTCCGTTATTATCTCAGCGATTTTTATACACCGATATGCTTTTCTTGTTTAAAATTATTAACGGCATAATTAATTGTGCAGAATTGCTGAGTCTATTTTATTTGCATATACCCCTAAAATCTCCAAGACATCAACAATTGTTTCACATTCCTTTCAATAAAACTAACTATTTGAACAATTCTGTGATCAACAGATTGTGTAAGGAGGCAAATCAGTGTAGTACGAGTGTTAACTTTTTTGGTATTTCTTTAAATAAGTTTATAATTGAACTGCGTAATTTTATGTATGATGGGAACAATAATGTTAGCGCGGCTGATTAATTTTGTTTAAATTAGGATTATCGTATCATAGTACACTGTACGAATGGGCACTGCCCATATACTTTGAAGAAATAAATAAATAAAGTTCGGCCCTACTAACGCGCAAGGTCATTGTTACTGCTTAGACTAAAATTACCTATATAACGCAATCGTAACAATTTTCTGACAATATTTGCACAGAATCGAAAATACAATTTACAGATAATTTCACAGAAAATTATAAGGTATTAAAATAAGCTGCAACGCTTATTATTTTAATCCAATTTTGCTTATTTTAATACCAAAATGGATTAAAATAAGCAAAATTGGATTAAAATAATAAGCGTTGCAGCTTATTTTAATGCTTTTTAATTTTCTGTGTTATTGATATACAAATTAATTCTGCGCGACATACGCAGCTTACTATTTCCATTAAATAATTTTTTTTTTAACACAAATTCTAAATTAAATCACATGCGGAGAAAACAAATCAAAAAAAAAAAAAAAATTCTAATAAAAGCAATTTCAACGTTATAATAAATTGTGAAACTCACTATTGATGTTTCCAATTACCTCGATACGCTCTCATCATGTCGATTAAGAGTTATGAATTGCATCAAATTTAAGTATCGCACATTTTTATCAAAAAAAAATTTATGAAAAAAATCACATACATGCTATACTTAAAACACGGCAGCCACTATGTAGTGCACAGCAGATCAGATTAGGCTAGTAAATAGAAATAAGATAATCAAGGAAACGCCATTACAGTACAGCAGCGCCACATTTCGTCGATCACTAATATCGACCAATGATGAGTAATTTCTGGTAATTTGCTCATAGGGGGCGGAAAATTTGAAATTAATTTAATTTAAAAAATTTTAATTATTGTTTGTTTAATTGAAAAAAGTAATTAATATCACAAATCATATTTTTATTTAATGTAAATATTTTTAATAAACAAACAAAGGCAGACAAAAAATTATAACAGCATATTTATAATATAATATAATAATAAAATATCTATTATTATGTGATTATTATATAAAAACAAACATTGGTGTAAAATTTTTTTACATTTTTATACTTATTTCTGAACCGCTACATTAAACGTAAAAACGTAACGAAATTTTATAAATTCAGTATACGTATCATATGGTTAAACTTCACCCGAGCGAGCGAAGAATACGTCGCTAGTAATATATTATATTAATGTTAATAATAATATATTATTATTATTAATATTAACATAATAATAATAATAATAATAATTGCAATGTAATACAAATATATTAATTAAAAATATATTATTTAATTAAAATTAAAAAATAATTGCTGGTCAACAAGGCGCCAGATTGCAAATTTCAGAAGGCAAGTTGTTATAGTAAAAGGATATCGATCGGTGACAGAAACGACGGAACCCCAAGTAATCGGGATAAAGTCAATAATCCATGATCCGCTCAACTCAGAATGTAGCATCCCCCACATGTAATTGGGATCAGTGCTTATCTGTTCGCGCACACGGGGTTTTCATTTCACCCTCCCCTCTTCACCGGTACTGCTTTCGGTCACCCTACTTAACCATCTCAAAATACGTGAGCACATACTTAACAAATTCTAAAGCCACACCAGAGAATAGTTCAAGGATCATCGAATAGCTTAAATATATATATATATATATATATATATATATATATATATATATATACAAAAAGTACAATAGGTAGCTTTCCAAGCTTCTTTCTTTGAGTATATACATAGTTTTCAATCGTTGTTTATTCGGTTCAACCAATATACTATAGATGTGCTTTTTTTCTGAACTTACTGGAAAGAAGTATACAATGAAATCGTTCTCGACTGAAAGTGGCTCACAATACTTGGAGAGCTATCTTTGTAAGCTTCGAAATGTTTTCGAAAATCGATTTGTAAATATTTACATATATTAACCGCGAATATAATCTAGTTTTTTTTTCTTTTTTGGTGAAAAATTGTAATTTTTATTTAATTTTTACAAAATAATAAATTATTTTGCTCTTTTGAAAGATTTTCTATATACAATTCTGTTCGTTGAATTTTATTAAAAATATATTTATTTAAAAGTTAATAAAAAAATTTAATTTTTTTAAGTAGAATATAAAAAAATATAAAATTGTTCAAGTAAAAATTTTAATTGTAATAATTTTAGATAGCATTTTGAGGGTATTTAATTGAGGGTAAGGGTATTTAATGAAGAAATGTAACTGAAAAATAATAATAATAAAAATTAATGTAATAGTGTTACGTCTCAGAAGGAGATGCACAAAACTTATAACAATATTTTATTTTGTCAAAATATGTGATCCCACTGAAAGCAGAATCAAACACTTACAATTAGAACTCAGAATTAAAATTTCTAGAGTAAAATATAAATCGGAATGACTTACTTTAAATGAAAATATAATTTTTGTTCCTCCTGAATTCAATCGGTTGAGGAACGTCCCAAGATTGGCGACTTGCGGGTCCAAGCATAACAAACCTCAAAATTGGCAGAAAACTGGCAATTGGTTATGATGACCCCAAGTTGGCGGAAAAATGGCTCAAGTCGACAAACCCTAATACTAGCGGTAAAATGGCTTGAGATGTTGAAGAACCATAACGTTAGCGGAGGATTGGCTCGAAGCTAGCGGAGATCCCAAATGAGTAAACTGGCTTGAAGCTGGCGGAGATCCCAATAGAGTAAATTGGCTAGAAGCTGGCGGAGATCCCAATAGAGTAAACTGACTCGAAGCTGGCGGAGATCCCAATAGAGTAAACTGGCTTAAAGCTGGCGGAGATCCCAATAGAAAATTTTTTTTAGTAAATTAATAAAATTATTTGAAATTTTTGTTTATACAATATGAATTCTTTATCTGACGATTTGTATGCATAAAATACCGGGCTTGTAACATATTCTATTTTGTGGTCAGCAGTTAGTACCTTTTATGTTCACCTTCGTTATTCCCTTATACTGTCGTAGTATTAAAAGGCATGTGACACGATGTTTCAGAGGGACCTGCCTTCAGCGAGCCAATATCAAACGTGACGGTTCCTGTGGGAAGAGAGGCTGTTCTAGTTTGCGTCGTCGAAAATCTCTCCGTCTACAAGGTAAACTATCAAAAACATATGTGCAAAAATTTTATGTTACTTTTTATAGAAAATAAATTTAGAAAATTTTTTATTAACTTTTTAATTAATAAATTATTAAAATTTAACACTTTCGCTATTTTACGATTAGAATATATATATAAAGCCAAATATTATTAAAAAATATAATTAACGATAATTATTTTCACTAGGCCTTTATTAATATAATTTTTGTGTTTTTAAATTCTAAAAATTTCTGAATATAATTAATAAATATTAAATATATAATAAAAAATTGCTTAATAATGTCAAAGAAATTTTTAGAAAAATGTCATTTCAAAAGCAAATGAACTTCCAATGTGAGAGATTAAAAACTCTTCTAATTTAAATTGCTTTCATTAGCATAGAAAAACTTTTAATTGGACTTGCAATACTCATAATGAAGTATTACATACATTGCAAAATTTTAAAAAAAACTTTCCATTTTTCTACACAAAAAGGAAAATAAAAATGGAAAATAAAAATGCCTGCAAATATAAAAATTATTAATTTCAAAAGGCTTTGCATTAAATACACTTTGTTTTGAACAGATTTCTCTTTTTAGTTAGTAATTTTTACATTTCATATCTAAGAACTAACATTTCAAAAAATTCGTTTGTAGTTGAATTTTTTTTTTAAATACATTAATGAAGCAGTCGTACAATTTTCAGAGATGTTAGTTTGTTAATAATGTTTACTAAAAAGAAAAAAATTTAGTAATTATGTATTTTGCTTAAAAATAAAAAAAATAAATAAAAGATTTTCAAAACAACAATAAATGGCAAAAAATTATTTAAAAATGTTCTTTTTTATTAAACAACGAAAAATAATAGGGGAATAGTGTTAGGGTTGGACACTTGGCTTTTTTTAAATAAGAGCACTAGCGCCAACTGTGTGCGTACGTGACGAATCTTCTAGTAGTGTAACCTAACTTTTTGTGGCATTACATTTTTGGAGAATCAAAAGTAGCGTCTCCTGTGACTTCGGTGCAATTGAAGAGACAAAAAAAGTTTAGTTTGACTTGTGAATAAACCTAAAAAATGTGTAAAAAAAAGCCAGAATTCGGCAAGGTAAGCTTATTGAATGTATTGTGGGGTACATAATTTAAGAAGAAAAAAAGTGAAAAATCGAATCTCGACACATGTCTGGTTATGGTTAGCACAATTCGAAAATGATGCTTCTAGTTAGAGTTGGACACCCATATTAATTATGAATTTGACACAATTTATAAATAAATTTTATTTTATTGATATTTCAGTGCAAAATTGTGCCAAAGATATTAGAAAAATAATACTTAAATTGTATAAATTTTGTTCATCATTTCATTGAGTTATTTGGAACAATAAAGCGTTATTTTTTGTAATTTGAGTTCATTCCTTTTTTAAACACATGAAGCTTTACAATTTGTAAACAATAAGTAAAGATAAACATGAAAAAATAAGAATAAAAAACATTACAAATGTTATTTTACGTTTTTACCAATAATGCGTTTCGATTTTCAAAAAGTGTCCAACCCTGACTAGATTTTTTTTTTAATGTTTATAACTTTTTTAATTTTGGACCAATCAATTTACAATCCACAGCAAAAGTGTTCCTATTTTGTAGATCTTTCCACCCATATACCACAATTGACTGAATTTATCTAAACAAAATATTTATAAACAAAAAACCAAAACTGTGTCCAACCCTGACAATATTCCCCTAATTTTTGATTTAAACAAAAATTGTTTTGAGTAACTTTTCAAAAGAAGAGTAATTTTATAGGTATATATCCAAAAATTCGAGAAAAAAATTGCTTAATGCAAAATAACCCTCTTTTTAGGGTTAAAATTAATTTGAATTTTTTTTTAGTTTATAAATCAAATTTTATAAACAAAAATTATTTAAAAAATAAATATATATATATAAATAATTGTAAATGTCGTGTATTACACAAGTGACAGACGTAACTAAACCTAAGCGAGTTAATTTAAGCTGAGAGATATCATGGAGACAAGAGATTGCAGCTGCATTCTGTCATGTTTACTAATTCCATCTTCAAGTGATGTTCACAATGTAAGAGAATGATACACGTATGTAAACTTCTCGTTTTCATCTCTCTAAGTTGCGTTTTCAACAATTTACGGTGCATTTACGAAACTCTATAAGAGAGATGCATCTAACCTACATCTTTATCCTAGAAAAAGGTTATTTTTTTTTATTTTTCCTACTGTCGGAGAAAAAATATATATTACTTATTCTAATGCAATGACAAAAATTTTTTACCATTTTTTTTTCTTCATGAAACTTTATGCATCACTAAATTCAAATTTTTTTTTAAGAAAAAAATTTTTTTCTTTTATAGAATTTATTAACATACAGATTGTTTATTCTCACAATATAAAAAAAATAAAAATTCACTCTAGATAATTGTTTCATGGAGCCGCACTGCTAATTTTCTTATTTTATACACACACACACACGCTATACTTTAAGCATCAAAACAAATCCATAATTAAATCGCGAAAAAAAAAGTTATTCAACAAAAGAAGAAAAGAAGAAGTTAAAAGAACTCACATGAATTACATTCATTTTTGAAAGCCGTAATTAAAAGGTGGAAATAATTGTGTAACTTAAACAATTTGAAACTTTGGAGAGATATTACGGAAAACTTGTATGTATGAGTTTTGGAAGTATGAATATCAAAGTCACAGATCTGTGAAAACTAAATTTGTGCCCACTGAATTTCGTAGAGTTGGTTATTAGAAAAATTTTCAAAATAATTGCCGTCTATATAAAAATTTCTTTTTAAAAATACTTTATGTTTCTTATACATATATACGATTCGAGGAAGTTTTTTTTTTTTTTTTTTGCCCGTCTGTAACTTTAGAGTGACATATAATACCAGCTAGGTTAGAAAGAAAATTGTTCTCACTGCTGAATTTTTTCACCCTCGCCTTGAACCTCCAAGAAGTACTTGCTATGTACTACTTGAGAAGAAGTGCTTTTGACATTCAAGCAGCAGATTATACTATGTTACTATATTAAAAAATAAGTACTCATATACATGACGGGTGTGCTGTTGTAGGTCAACAATCATTATCATTAATTACATAATTATACAAGAATATTTTCTTTCTTTTTTTTTTTTTTTTGGAATAGTTTTAAATGAAAATTACAAATGAAATAAAGAAAATTTTATAATTTTTATTTGAAATAAATATATTAGAATTTTTTAGCAGATCTTTAAAAAAATTTTTGTGGATTTATTTAATATAATTAACATAACCTCAAATTGTCAAGAATATCGTAACTTATCTAACTGAATATTTTTATTTTAAAATAAATATTAATCATATTGGTAGAAGAAACTAAATAATTACATAGTCGCTATTTGCACCAGTGTATGGGAGCGTTCAAAAATTACGTAACATTTTTTGGAGGAGGGGGGGGGGGGTCAAGCACTTTGTTACGGACAGCAGAAAAAACGGCGCTAATGTATGCAATAACGTTTTACATGGGGAGGGGGGGGTCAAAATTAAAAAAAAAAGGTTACGTAATTTGTGAACGCTCCTTATCTAGTCGGTATATTTTTGACAACGCAATTTGTGTGAATTTGTGTCAGTTTGTTTTGAATTTCTAATTACATTCTTTTTATCTGACGAATGACACAGCCAATTGTTTTTCGCTTCCGGTTCATAATCGTCACTAATCAGTATTATCACTTTCTGTTTTGCTTGAATTCATTTCATTTATAATTTAAACTGTCTAATATAAACTATTTAACAAAGTCTGAAGCACACGTGGAAAATATCACAAGTAAATATTATACCGCATCTACTGCGCATCTTAGTTGCGCAATTAGGGATAATTTTTCTGCTGTTTCCGCACGAAACGACAATTCCCTAATAACACAAGATATCTTGGGATATATTGATAATATCCCGCAGATATCCTAGGGATGTCTATGGATATCAAAAGGATATCCAAAAAATCGGCGGTTTGGATATCCCATGGATATCTGAGGATATCCACAGGATATCTTCTGGATATCTCTATAGACTTTTATAAATGTCCTCCAGATATCCCATAGATATCGTCAGGATATCCCATAGATATTTTCAAGATATTCTCAGTATATCTTCTGTATGTCAAGAAGATATTCTCAGGATACTGTTTTTAAAGTCATTATGAGATTATGAGTGAGAATATTCTGTGAAATAAATTTTATATAAATAAAATAAAATGTAACTTGTTTTTCGAGAAAGTTGTTTAATTTGAAAAATTATTAACTAGTTTTTTTCTCATTCGTGATTTATTCCTTTATTCATATGCTTATTATTGTCAGAAAATAAATTGGCTTTAAACAATATAAATTCTTCCTCGCAAATAACGAATAACTATTAATATTAATTATACATTAAGTGCATGAGTTTATTTAAAAACTTTGAAAAATGCGTTTCAAATCTTCATTTAAAATAAATTAGAAGCTCATAAGGTTTTTGTTATTATTATATTATTATTCATTATATTAGCTTAACAATTTTAACCTTTAAAAATAAATGTTGAGATATTAAATATTCCGTGAATATCCTAAGAATATCCCATGGACATCCTGAGGATATCCCATGGATATCCTGCGATATAATATCCAATAGATATTTTGTGGATGTCTTAGGGATATCCTGTGGATGTCCTGTTGATGTCCCACAGACCGGCGGTTTGGATATCCTAGGGATATCCCAAGATATCCTGGGGACCATTCTAGGATATCTATCATTGATATGGATATCCTATGGATATCCTTTTGTTATGAGGGTTTGATTATTTTTTTATGGGTCAGGAATATAGTAATTTATGTTAAGAAATTTTACTGTGGATTGATAATAATTTAATATTCTGCATATAATTCCCGTATTCATGAATAAAAATGTTTTTTAGAGTTATGAATAAAAAAAAAGTGAAAAACAGGGTATTTTGGTATATTTTTTATTTCAGGAAACTTTCATTCTTCAAATTTAATTTTAAAAATTGGAAAAAATCTGCAAAAGCAACTAGTCTACTTTTAAATTAAAATTTTTTTAATTTTCTACAAATTCAATTTTCAGGATAAAAATTACAATCTCAGCTCCTAATTGAAGCATATATCTAATAAAATGGATTGTTCTCTGATTTTGTAATGAATAATTAAGAGATATTTATTATTTAGAGAAATTGTCTTTTAAACCATTATGTTTTTCTTTCGATATGTGTGTAATTTCAGAAAATTTTGTTGTCAGTCAAAAAATATTATTTATCATCTTAAATATTGTGTGAAAATTTAATTTTTCAATTAAAATACATGAAGAGATATAAGGAACAAATTAAAATACTTCATTTATTTGTAAAAGCAATAAATGAGGAAAACTGTTTAAAAATTTATTTTAGTATATATTTTAGAAAAACAAAGATATAAAGGTATAGGAGTGGAAGGCTTTCGCTTTATGCACCAGTTATAAAGCGAAAGATTATATGAGAGTATATATATAAAGGAAACAGAAAACGCACTTTGAAATTACCTATTTTCTCTGATCTTGAAGCAACTGAAGAAAATGGAAACTAGATTGAGTATTAAATTTCTGTGTAATTGTTACATTTGTTGTAAGAAATTCAGAATCTCTGTTGCTCTCAAAATATATTTATATACAAATATGTCCTACTTAATTAAAATTTTTGAAAATTTTTCAGTTCGATTATCTAAAGTATTCAAAATAAATATAGAATTATTCTTGAGAAATTAATAAAATGAATTTAATTTCTAATAACATTAGTTATTTAAAGTAAAATATTTATTAACTAATTAACTTTTTTTCATATAAGAGGCATTCTTTGTCAACGCGGACACCCCCCTCTCGCCCAAATTATTTTCATTTTAAATTCATGTTTAATGGCTTAAATTTTAGTTAAAGGAATATACTTTTGAAATCTGAGTGGCATATATCCAAAAACAAAATATAGGATCCAATATAAAGGTTATTCTTTAAATTTACCAATAAAAAGTTACTCTAATTCATTTTGAACAATCCAAAAAGTAATGTTTCAGGCCTTTTTAGCCCTCTGTATTTGGAAATATGCCACTCAGATTTCAAAAGTATATTCCTTTAATTAAAATTTAAGCCATTAAACAAGAATTTAAAATGAAAAGAATTTGGGCGAGAGGGGGGTGTCCGCGTTGACAAAGAATGCCTCATAAATATTTTTATTTTATGAATTTTATTTAATTTTGATGGAGATTCATTAATTGAAGAACCACCTTAAAAATTTATTGTCATTAAATATAACATCATAATATGGATTCTAAAGTTCTGTTAATATATTCATTACCAAATATATTTATATTATTATTGATTGGTAGTGAACATCCGATATTATTGCAAGCCCAAAGAGTGATTTCTAATTTCTTAGGAAGAGTCGAAACACTCATATTGTATGTTGGATGTTCTGAAATATCGTAAATCATTTGACCACACATTCCACTATTTTCAATATAAAGTATATATTTTACAGTGGTAGGACTATTCTCAGGTTTATTCCATTTCAATAAAATTGTATTAGTAGTATTGTCATATGAATAATCAAGTGATCCTGGGGGTTTATTAGGCTTCTCTGCAAATGAAAACATTTCATTAGGAAATAAAAAATTATATAAATAATAATTTATCTTCTTCAATACTATATACTATTTTACTAAAGATTCGTACCTGATGGATTTTCAGTAATGATTTCTTTGCTTATGAGAAAATGAACATCCTCGCCATCCGTAAACGCAATTAAAAATGTATAATTTTTTCCTGGTTTTAAATATGAGATTCGATGTACATAATTATCTGATTTATTAGGATAAAAATCGTCAACCAACTCAGCCTCTCTATTATTAGATGAGTCGATTATAAAAACGTCTATTTTCGCAGCGGTGGAAATATTCTCAGGTTTACTCCATTGAATATTGGCGGTTCTATCAGTGACATCAATGACTTTGATGAGTTTATCAAGAACAGTAAAATTTGATGTTTCGCTGAGATAAGAATCAATTTTTGAATCTATAATAGATTAATAAATTAATAATATGTTAATTGATAGACATTAAAAAAGAAACATATATTCGAATTGATTCGTACCTAAAGGGTGCTTAATTCTAATATCTTCACTAATGAATTCTCCAATAATATTTGGATTAAATTGAATATATAATGTAAAAATATATTTCATTCCTGGTATAAGATCATTTACTGTTATATTTGTATCATTAAACAAAAATGATGTTGAATTATCTTTATCAATAGGAATAGATCCATTTCGAAACTGAAGTTTTTTAGACACTGAATAATGTACATTTTTATAGGCACAAATTTCAGGCTTTTCCCAATGCAAAATAGCTGATGTTTCAGTGACATTAAACACTTCGAGATAATCAATAAGTTCACAACCATCTGTGAATTAAAACAACATTTTATGAATATCTCTAAATTTTTCCCTCGTGTCCAGAGTTAATGAATTATTTCAAGACTTTTTCCTGAACTTTTTCTTTCCGTGTATACTATTTTATACTAAAAATTCGTACCTGATGTAATATCAGTAATGATTTCTTTGCTTATGAGAAAATGAACATCCTCGTCATCCGTAAACGCAACTAAAAATATATAATTTTTTCCGGGTTTTAAATATGAGATTCGATGTACATAATTATCTGATTCATTAGGATAAAAATCGTCAACCAACTCAGCTTCTCTATTATTAGATGAGTCGATTATAAAAACGTCCATTTTTGCAGCGGTGGAAATATTCTCAGGTGTATTCCACTGAATATTGGCTGTTGTATCAGTGATATCAATAACTTTGATGAGTTTATCAAGATTTGATATTTCCTTGAGATAAGTATCAATTTTTGAATCTATAATAGAATAATATTGTATTGTTTCACTGTATGTTAATTGACAGACATTTAAAAAGAAACATATTTGAATTCTAAATGTTGATTCATACCTAAAGGATGTTTAATTCTGATATCTGAACTAAAGACTGCTCCAGTAGTATATGGAATAATTTGTAGATCTAATCTAAATTTATATTTCATTCCTGGTATAAGATCATTTACTGTTACATTTGTCTCATTAAACGTAGATGATGTTACATTATCATAATTATCATCAAAAGATCCATTTCGAAACTGACGTTCTTTAAACACTAAATATTGCACATTTTTGTAGTTACAAGTTTCTAGCTTTTCCCATTGTACAATAGCTGATGTTTCAGTGACATTAAATACTTTGACATTTTCTCTAAGTTTACAAGCATCTGTGAATTAAAATGTAAAGTTACAATAAAATTTGAAATTTAGAAAATACTCCTAGTTGTTAAATGTGTATTAAAATATTTTTGAATTAAATATACGAATTCACATTTTCAAATGATTTTTTTCTAAAAGTAATAAAAGTTATTATTATAACTAATTACTAATTGTTGAGATCCATACCCATTATTTCTGTGCTATTGAATTTAGAGCTAGACAGTAAATTACGTTGATTTTCAGGACATTGGAATTCAATTCTAAAATAAAACATGCCAATATCCATATATCCTTGAAATTTAAAAGTTGGACATTCATCAGAACTGTTAAATTCTTCACAAAAGAATGGTACTACAATTGAAAAATATATATGGTACATTAATACAGAAATAGGTAAAATGCAATGGACAAATTTAAGAAAAAGTATTTATATTATTTTTTCATAAATAATTAAATTTCACATTTTTAATTAATAAGAGTTAGATGTACTTTTATCTCACGAATCTATGGATATATCATAAACTCATTTTTTTAACAAAATTTCACTCACTTTCTTTAGATTTTTCTTCGATAATTTTGTTTTGTTGTAACATTATCAAACATATATCATACGATATTAAGCCATCACAAAGGGGCTTTTTCCATTTTAGACTGGAATTAAAAAATGGTTCTAATTGCACTTCGATCTCACTACTAGAATTAATGCAGGTATCTGTTAACAAAAATATGACAATAGAATAAAATACGATCACAGAAAAGAATTTATCAAAGTTGTTAATTAAGTTTAAAGTGAAAACAACTAATTACAATTAAAACCTTCTTACCTTCTAAAGAACTGTTGGCACTTGGAGGTGTTTGACAATTAATGTCAATGAATATTGACAGAATGGTGAAAATGGCCAAATGGAAACACAATGATCTAGTAGTTGCCATTTTGCTAACGTTTATGTTTTACGTTAGCAATCAATCGAATCAGATTAGATGTGATAGCCTAAATAATAAATTGTAACTCATCAATGTAGAAAAAATGATGCCATAGTTACAGTTACCATAGCAACCGTTTCCATGAAAACATTTTCCATATTAACCGCGTTACCATATTAATCGTTTCCATGACAACAGTTTCCATAGCAACCATTTCCATGAAAAACGTTACCATGACCGCTTTTCCTTTAGCAACCGTTGTTGAGAATATTTTTTCCTCAGCAACGATTGATAAGGATTTATTCAAGGGTTCAAAAATTTCCCAAGTATTAAATTTTATTTCAATCTAACAATTTTTGATTATTTAATTTATTATCGCATTCGTTCTTATAAATGAGACAAGTTGAGAAAAAATATATGCAAATAATAAGTTAATTTTTTTAGTTACCTTCTGCCCTATTCTTCATTAGACTTTAGTTTTACTTTAACGATAAATACAAATTTCAACCACTTATATATTTATAGTGCTGACATTAGGTCTATTGCGGCAATGTTTACTTGTGTTTTATCATTTTATTTAACATTTTTTTATCAAAACGCAAATATGTAGTTCAAAAAATATTCCTAAGCAATATTATATAAAAACAAATGTTTTAAAATTTATATTAAAATTAAATTCTATTCTTCTACTAATAGTCTTATTTGAATAATAAATATTTCTTCATAATCGTAATCTTTAATATACAATTTTTCAAATTATATTTACCAAAACTAGAATTGACATTTCGTCATTTGACAAACTTGTGGCACATTTACTTCGACCATTGGACATTTTAAATTGCTAAAACTAGAATAAAAATAAAAAATGGTTGGATGGGTTACATTTTGTCAAGAGTAAAAAGAAACGTCAAAATTTAAATAAGATAATAATTAATTTGTTTTAACTTAGAAAATATTCTGTAAGAAAAATATCAAAGTCCTAATGACGTCTAAAAGACGTAAATAAAAATAAAATTGAATTTACTTAAGTTTAAAAATTTAAGAATAAAAAAATAAACTATTTTTTTAAATATAAAAATAGCGATTAATTTTATAAAAACTAGTAAAATATGTATATATACATTATGTACATAACATATACACACGCACTAAGATATATGGATTAGTAAATAACAATTATATTTAATAATTTTTATTGTGTTCTCAACTGTGTAAACAGAAGGAGAAATTTTTATTTGACAGTTATTTATATGAAAATAAATATCACTGTAAAAAAAATTACTAAAATAGTACTAATTATAGGTATCAAAATGAAACCAAATGACAATTTAGTACCTAAAGTCGGTATTAAATTAATACCTTTCGTTTTACAGTGATAAATTAGTAAAAGTGACAAAAGAAATTAATTTTTCATGAATTATAATAATTTGCATTTAATTTTTTCATCCTCAAGAGGAAGCTTTGAATTGATGACAATTTTTGTTTTTTCAAAAATGTATTATGTTTAGAGTAAAAATCAATGATTAGGATGGAACAATTATTGCAGAAGTATAAATTATTTTATTATTTTTTTTTATTTAAATAATTGATGTTCCTAGGGCTAAAAAGACCTCCAAGGAACAATTACATGTTATACATATTCGAAGAATTACAACAATATAATAAAATTCCAAATGAAAACGTAATTAGTAATTACCGAGTAAAAATATTGAATATAAATTTGAAAATAAATTCGTAAATTGAATAAGAGAAAACAAAATAATATTAATAACGAAAAAGCAGTACTTTATCGCTAATAGCAAGAAAAACAATATAATTAAATTTTAAGCAAATAGAGAGAAATAAAAAATAAGTGAAAAAGTTACCAGTGCGTGATATTGAACATTTCGTTGTTATTTTTAAATAAGAAATCAAAAAATAATCTCTTAAAGGTATCCTGGCTAGGTGCATCTCCAATTTCTAATGCCAGTTTATTCCACAATCTAGCACCTCTAATAAAGAATGATTTTTGTAGTCGACAAGTTCGATGAGATTTTTAATACTGATTTTCTATCACAAAGTCTGTTATGAATTGAATCAAGAGGATTTCTGAACTTAAATATATCATTCAAATATAACGGACTTTTATTGTTAAAAATTGAATAAAATAGATTTCCCATGAAAAATTGTCTTCTAGTAGCTACATTCAAATAATTGCGACCTAATTCGATATTGAGAAATATGTTCATACTTAGGCAGATCATGTTCATGCAAAGAAACATTTAATAGAAAATTGCTTGGCTGTTTAAATGAAGTGAAACAATGTACATGTATAATTTAAAAAATTACAATTTATTTATTTATTTAAATATTGGTAAAAATTGATTATACCGATGAATTAATATTTGTGAAGAAGTGATTGCTCGATCCAACTCAAGCGAGAGCAGAAATGGTTCTGACAATTATGGCGAAGTGTCATGTCGTCGTAATCAAAGATTACATTGGTAGCTTGTGTACAGTGGTCAAAATGTGTTGGTAACATGGTGTTTAGTACAGGTATATTTTGTAGGTTTTTTGGACCCAGGTATAATTGCAAGTGGAGGGGTTAGGTTTTTAGTTTTATTAGTGTACTCTTATCTTCGAAATAATTTTAACAGACCTATCTTAACAATGAGATGATTAAAGTTATAAAATGCAAGATGTTCCAAAATAAATTTTTACAAATTTGGGATTATATCTTATGGCTCAATATAAAGTTTTACAATTGTTGCAGATGCTGATGTTTTTCTTGCGATAATATTTACAACTTTATTTTTTTTTTACCTTTAGAAAAAGATTAAGAATAAGCTATTCTAAATTTTGTTTTTACTTATTTTAACTCTCAACGGAACAGATTATAAACAAATCAAATACATGCATTTAAAGATCTTTCTAATTTTTTTGTTTAATTCATCACTTATATCATCATACACAAGGCAACAGTAATCAAAAAATGGTAGAATAAGTGATTTAACTAGTAATAATCGTGTAGATGTAGGAAGTGAATCTTTGCTTTTGTACAGTTGGTATAATACTATATTTGTTTTACGTGAAATTTCATAGACTTTATCTTTCCACGACAGTGATCGATTTATAATCAACCTTAAATCTTTAACTTATTCCTTGTATGTTTCTATTTCTAGCAAATCTTTCAAAGACGATAGTGATCCCGAAATATAGAATTTAAAGTCATCAGCATATTTATGGTATTTACAATATTTAAGATTATTGCCACGGTCAGCAATGAACATATTAAAAAGTAAAGATGAAATTGAGGCGCTTTGTGGGACACCACACCTCAACCTATCCCATTCTGATATTTCACCATTACCATCTACTATTCTTTGAGATCTATAGCTCTCAGATAAGACTCAAACCAGTTAGAGACCGACCTCGAAAATCTGAACGAATTAAGTTTACATATCAATAGGCAGTGATCAGTAGATGGAAATGCTTTAGAAAAATCAAAAAACACAACTATAGTAATAAATTTGGAATCCATTGCAAGCTTTACATCTGTTGTAAATTTTAATAAGGCGGAACATGTACTATGTTTTAAGCGGAAACCAGATTAAAATGGTTCAAATAAATTATTGTTATTTAAAAAAGTAGTCATTTATTGACATATACCAGTTTTTCCAAAGGCTTGGCTAGCGTACAAATGTTCGAAATCGGTCTAAAATCCGTAACACTTCTTGGATTTGTCACTTTCGGGATAGGTCGTATATTACTCATTTTCCAGATGTCAGGAAAAATCCCTATCTGGAGAGAGTAGTTATATATATATATATATATATATATATATATATATATATATATATATATATATATATATATATATATATATATATATATATATATATATATACATATATATATATATAAAAGCACTAGAAAGATGACTGGTAATGCCAGTTTAATCATTTTAATAGAGATATAATCGGGTCCAATTGCATTGGAATCAATGCTGGCTATAGCTTTGAGTAAGGATTCTGTAGAGATATCATCAAAGAAAAAGCAGTTATCATCAAACGTATCCGTATTAAGAGGAAAACGCGCAGAAGTGAAAAGAGGCACAGGAATAGGGGATTGATAAATTATACCTTTTCACTAAAAAAAATATTTGAGTTTATAAACATAGAAACATTTTCTTTAACTTTTATTATGTGAGTATTTTAAAATCTTAGATGAAGGGAAACTGGGACAATGATAGCAGTTTACGTTTTGGTGCTATATTTCAGAATGTTTAAGATATATATATATATATATATATATATATATATATATATATATATATATATATATATATATATATATGTTAAGAATAAAACATAATGAATTGTATTTCCAAAGTAAATAATTGTTTTCTACCAAGAGTTGTTTAGATAAAGGAGTGAAAACTCTTAAGAACATGTTTGTATCGAGTTCATAAATAAACTTGCTTCTTAAGTGGAAGAGATGAGGTGGGGGAGGGGGGGGTTTCCATTTAAAGAGATTCTGGTCTTCTGCTTAACTCTGTAAATCCAGTTCACGCGAAAGTTTTATTCAAATATTTGTACAAATAATCGTGATCTTGTAACGCGCGCGTAAAATAAATTAAAATAGTTACATCTTCATTTAAACGAAAATTAAAAATTGCTGATAAATTAATAATAATACATAATATTAAATTTTTAATATTTTTATAAAAAGAATTATTTTTATAAATCAAAGAACAGTCTAATTTTAAATTTAAAGTAAATAGAAAATAAAATGAAAATAATTTGATTAAGAAATATAAACTGATCTTATTGGATTTGACATATTAATCTATTGCTTTTTATATATATATATATATAGAGAGAGAGAGAAACTTTTATGTTACTACTTATATTGAAACTTTCCTTCGAGCAATGGTCAATAATTTATAAACGACTCGTTTTAGTAACTTGCAATAAAAATGTTACTATCAATAACACATTTTATAGTTATACGACAGAATATTACTAAGCTAGGAAAGAAAAGTTTCAATTTTTAAAGTATATTATGTTTCAAGTTTATTAACTTTCTATGTTACCAATATCGAGGGAAATTAAGTTATTAAAGAATTAAACTGAAATTTAGTAATTAAAAAAAGAATAATAATTATGAAAAAAATAATAATTTTAAGTGTCAAAATGTAATTTGATATATTTTGTTACAAAAAAAATTACTAGAGTGACATAAAGTTACTAGGATGACATATTGTTATTTAACACTATGTGATTGTCAGGTTGCTCAATGTTAATTTTGTCAAGAACTTTACTCTTGAAATATTAAATTGATTGATCTGAAATTTTGTGGATATATGTCTAAAATATGATAAGAAATGGCTGCGTTATTAAAATTGTAATATTTTCTTGAATTAATTATTATATATTATAATTTGGAAATTTTAAAAAAATTTCATGTTACATGTGACATAGCTTTTAAAATATTTTATGATAAATAATTTAACAAAAAATATTTCAGTTTTCCCATATAACAGCCATTCCTCGTCATATTTATTATAGACTCTTTCATAAAATCTCAGATCAATGCCTTCAATTTTTTAAGAGTATAAAGTTCTCGACAAAATTAACATTGTTAAGATAATAATCACATGCTGTTAAATGGAAATATTCATCCAGAAGTGTGATCAGGTAACTCCCATACTTCTTCTCACTTTGACTATACAAATTTTCATTTAAATTCATATTCTCATTCTCACTTTCACTCTCACTTGTTCTTGAATGACCTTGACTTGACCTTAGATAACCTTGAATTAACTTTAAATAACCTTGAACTAAACATAAAAAGTAATTGAATGTAATTGAATGTAATATTAAATTAGCATTAAATGTTCTTGAATTGATCTTGAAAAAAACTTGACATGACCCTCAAATGAGTTTGACTTGACCTTGACTGTCCTTAAAGAACCTTGACTTGCAATGAATGAATGAATGAATGAACCTTGAATTGACATTGAATTTCCTTGACTTGACCTTAAATAACTTTGACCTGACACTCAATGACCTTAAATGTTCTTGAATAACCTCGACGCAATTCTTAATGACATTGACTTGACATTGAATGTCCTCAACTTGACCTTGAATAACATCGACCAGATCCTCAATGACCTTGACTTTACCTTTACATTAAATGTCCTGGAATAAACTTGACCTGACCCTCAATAACCTTAACTTGACCTTGAATAACCTTGACGTGACCCTGAATGATATTGACTAGAACTTAAATGACCTTGAAGAACCTTGACTTGACATTAAATGTCTTTGAATTGACCTTGAATAATCTTGACCTGATCCTCAATGACTTTGACTTGACCTTAAATAACCTTGACTTGATATTTAATGTCCTTGACTTGACCATGAATAACGTCAACCTGACCCTTAATGACCTTGACTTGATCTTGAATAACCTCGACGTGACCCTCAATGATATTGACTTGAACTTAAATGACCTTGAAGAACCTTGACTTGACATTAAATGTCTTTGAATTGACCTTGAATAAACTTGACCTGACCGTCAATGACCTTGAATAACCTCAACCTGACCCTCAATGACCTTGAATGTCCTTGAATAACCTCGACGTGATCCTCAATGACATTGACTTGAACTTGAATGTTCTTGAAATGACCTTGAAGAACCTTGAATTGACATTGAACTTCCTTGACTTGACCTTGAATAACCTTGACCTGACCGTCAATGACCTTGACTTGACCTTGAATTACTTTGACTTGATGTATATACATGTGTTTATATTCATACCTTGACTTGACCTTGAAATCACGTTAAATCATCCAACATTCTTTCGAAGCTCATAATTTGGGAAAAAATTCGACACATTGGGAACTCAACACTTAGGGAGTTTCTACTGTATTTTAAATATAATAACTGTATATTTATTTATTTATTTATTACAATTATTATATGCCATCTTAATGTCCTGTATAATTTTTCCAAAATAATGGCAATGTGACTTATACACATATATGCTAAAGAATACATTATATTTAATTTACCAAAAAAAAAGTGTCGCAACTGCTTTATTGTCTTAAAATAGAACACAGAATATTAAAAATGTAATATTTTGCCTAAGAAAAAAAAAATTATTCAAAAAGTAACATTTTTTTTCCCCTAGTGTTTGTGTGTATGTATGTGTGTGTGTGTGTGTGTTTGTGGAACGGGAGAAGAAACAGCTGTGTAATAGAATTCGTACACAAAGAAGAAAATTGTAATCTTAAAGAATGTTATATTCACATAAGAGTCCTTAAGGTAGGACCTTATGCATTTAGGAGCTAGCTACCAATTTTTCAGAAAAACGTGGTCCACATTCTACGTAGAGTTAACGGTTCCGTTTACAGAAGAAACGAGTGCGACGTGCTAAAATACAGTATGCTGCACCTGCTTCGAAAAATTTTATAGTCTTCAAGGGAAAGAGAGAAAGAAAGAAAGAATGAGAGAAAGAGGGAGAGAGAGAGAGAGAGAGAGATGAAAAACAAGTTCAAATCTTATAAGAATATGAATACTCGTTTAACACTATACCATACATTTGAAACAGGTTTATATTGTTTGTGAACATTTAAATAAAAAAATATACAATTGTTAGAGTTTGTAAAATTTGTAACACAAAATTTATGATATTCTATACAACAAAAGACATTTTATTCAAGTTATATGGTACTGTTTCATTTCCTTAGAAATATAAACTTTGTTGTGCACGGAAGACATAAAATATAAATTTATAGTTTGCATTTTCTAAAAATTTTTAATGTTAAGAATTTTATAACAATAAGTGTTTATGCTATCGTATAATATTTCGTTTCTTATCGCTTTATGTATAGCATATTCAGTGTCTCGGAATATAAGATTTTCAGTAGAAATAAATAACCATGTGGTCCGACTAGAAGCATTGGATTCAGATAGAAAGGTGGCTGACCATCCATTTATTGAAACTACTGCCAGGTTTCTTCGGAATATCGATGTCGAGGAAATGCAGCAAACACATTTTCATCTTTTGTTCATGGAATTGAAAAAAATATATGTTTTTTATTTAAAAATTCAGTAATTTTTTAAATATTTTAAAAGTATTAATAATATTTTTAATTATAGAAAATGAAGAAGAGAAATAAAATTAAAAAAGAAATTGAAGAAATAAAGTATATTTGATGATGATAGAAAATATTGAATAAACTTTAAACTATTGTATAGCCAATATGTCGACACATGTATAAATATAAAAGGAAACTTTTAAAGAGTCACTTTTTTTTAACTAACATTAAAGTTTATTACGAGCTTTTTGTAAAAGTTTTTACTAAAAGCCAGCATCTTCTTAAAATTTTCATGATAATTTAAAACAAAGTAAGTAAGTTATAAAAGAGAGTCAAAAGAAAGTTTCAATCTTAGTATAATATTGTTCTTCATCGAACGATGAATTTCACTAATGTTTATAGTGGACATCATAAAAGAAGCAGTATTGCGATACTAAGAAGAAGCTGATATTTTATTATAACATAAAATGCATGTCAACTTTTATGCTTTCGCATTTAGTGGCGCACAAATTTAATTAAGATTTTACAAAAAGAGATTTAAAAAAGCGATTTGATATGCAAAAACAATTAAGACTTAAAAAAAAGTATTATAATTTATTTTAATCTAAATATTATTAATAAAATTTGTTATCAGATTACAATCAAGTTGGTACAACACTATTTTATTGCGTGTTTGCATTCTATTGATTTTATAGCTTTTGTCTTTATTATAATTAACATTTCAAATCTTATCAAAATTTAGTTTTGAAACAAATAATTATAAACAATAGTAAATAATTGCGTTAGTTTTTGAAAAAAAAAAGTAACGAAACATTTATTCAACCATCTCATGAAGAGGTAAATATTAAAGAGGATATAACAGACTTTTAGCTACACGGAGGTTAAATTGCTGTCTGCAATGGCAAAGCTAAAATAAACCTCCAGAATCATGAAAAGTTTCAGCGGATGTAATTCAACAAACGCTAAATCTGATTCAATAATAAATTTCTACAATAAGCGTCGGATGTTATATTTCAATACGGAAAAGAGCTTTTGATTTTAAAAAAATCAACCAATTTGCCTTCTAAAAGGTGACGAAGAAAAACTATATACAAACATCTCATGTTTAGGCTTATGTCAGAAATAACAAGAATATGCTAGTATTCACGTCTATTTAATATTAATTGTTATTTTCCCCTTATTATGTAATTTTTTAATTTATTTTTAAAATTGAATTTAATAGTGAGGATGGTAATTTTGTTTTTGAATTTTAATATTGTAGTTAAGATGGTAAATTGGTGTCTCCTCCCTAATAACACAAGATATCTTGGGATATATTGATAATATCCCGCAGATATCCTAGGGATGTCCTATGGATATCAAAAGGATCTCTTAAGGATATCCAAAAAATCGGCGGTTTGGATATTCTTTGGATATCCCATGGATATCTGAGGATATCCACATGATATCTTCTGGATATCTCTATAGACTTTCATAAATGTCCTCCAGATATCCCATAGATATCGTCAGGATATCCCACAGATATTTTCAGGATATTCACAGTATATATTCTGTATGTCAAGAAAATATTCTCAGGATACTGTTTTTAAAGTCATTATGAGACTACGAGTGAGAATATTCTGTGAATTAAATTTTATATAAATAAAATAAAATGCAACTTGTTTTTCGACAAAGTTGTTTAATTTGAAAAATTATTAACTAATTTTTTTCTCATTCGTGATTCATTCCTTTATTCATATGCTTAATATTGTCAGAAAATAAATTGGCTTTAAACCATATAAATTCTTCCCCGCAAATAACGAATAACTATTAATATTAATTATACATTTAGTGCATGAGTTTATTTAAAAACTTTAAAAAATGTGTTTCAAATCTTCATTTAAAATAAATTAGAAGCTCATAAGATTTTTGTTTTCATTATATTATTGTTCTGTTATGTCATATTTTAAATAAATATTATTTTTAACTAATCTGAACTTATAATTGTTCCCTATTCTAATTTACTCAATTTAACTTAGTTAAATTGACTAAGTTGGGAAGAGGTTTATTAAATGAATGATTTAATATAATATAAAAATTATTTATTTTAAAAAATCTGAAATGTTCTTAACAATTTGTGTTATACAATCAAATAAATCCTTGTTTTAATATTTGGTATGGTTACCTTTAGAATGTTATATTGGGAGGTCTTCAATTAGCACCTGTTGTATTGACCTCCTAAGATTGGATCTTCTTGGTCGTTAAGATTTTTATTACCGCACGTAACCACTGAGAAATATGATAATTTTGGAAACTGTATCTAACACTTGCTATGACGAACTCCGTGTGTTTAATTTAGGACTGCCTTTGAAGTGAAAGGTCTCCCTTTATATAGGTATATTTTCCAATGTATTCTTCGCGGCGGTACCAGCTCGCCTCTTTGGGTTAGATTCAAGATCGGTACCTCACATATATGAAAAGTATTTATTGCTTTTCTTCTATGTGTTGGTGACTCCGTATGTTGATTTCCTTATTTTAATAACACAAAATGTCAAGAACACTGCATCCTAAAGAAACATTATAATTTTTATATATTGACATATTTTAACATTAATTATGATGACTAACATTATTATTTTATTATACATTTAATATTTATAAACAATTAATTTACTCTCAAATATTCGTTTTATTTACAAATATTTGTTTATTTAAAAACAATTATTTATTTACAAATGTATTTAAAAAAAATTAATTTTACATAAATAAATATAAAAAAATGGTACGATGACGTGACAATTCATTATATTAGCTTAACAATTTTAACCTTTAAAAATATATGTTGAGATATTAAATATCCCGTGAATATCCTTAGAATATCCCACGGACATCCTGAGGATATCCCATGGATATCCTGCGATATAACATCCAATAGATATTTTGTGGATGTCTTAGGGATATCCTGTGGATATTCTATGGATGTCCTGTTGATGTACCACAGACCGGCGGTTTGGATATCCTATGGATATCCCAAGATATCCTGGGGACCATTCTAGGATATCGACCATTGATATGGATATCCTAGGGATATCCTTTTGTTATGAGGGCTATTAAGTATTTCATTAACCTAATCATATCCGATAAGGTAGAAATTTAATTGACCAACAGTCAAATTTTTATGTACGAAACTCGTACAAATATTGAATTTAATATTTAAAATCAATATCCTTGTTTGAAGTAAAATTCTATATTGTACGCTTATGCTTCTTAATTACCTTCGAACTTTTTAACGTCCTGGAAAGTAATCCTAAATGATTTAAGAAAAATGGGCGTTGACGAGACATTAATAGGTCTAATAAGATTTCATTTCTCTGAGAGAACAGTAGATTTTGAAGAAGAAGATGAAAAACTGACAAAGCTGATAAGTAGCAAAGTTGCAGAGAGTTGTTTTTGGCCCCATTATGGAATCTCCATAACTACGAAGTGCTGAGATTAAAATTCTTCAAAGACATCAAAATTATTGACTTTGCCAACGATTTTGCTGTAACAATGATTTATTTACATGTACATACACATTTTATACAATTATACTTAAATTAAATAATAAAAAAATAGTGGTGTCAATAAAAATTAAGCAATGACACTTTAAATATATATCAGTGGTGGCAAAAATAAGATTAAGCAAATCAAAAATGCACTTAAAGAAATACTATAAAAATCAATATCATTGAGGTAGTCATTAGCCTCTTTGGATAATCTAACCATAACAGAGTTGTCTCTGTAGTTTGTACTATGTAATTACTACCTGAGTAGAGTCGGATTTCCTCTATAGATCTAAAAGGAAATGCAAAATTCAGCATATAGATAAAATCGAAAGACAGTTTATAATGTCATTAATTATATCGAACAAAAAAAGTAAAGTATAGAAAATAAAATACTACTACTTAGTAATGGAATGCCCAAAATCTGTTTGAGATCAATCATTAATTATTTCTGATAGGATAATCAAATTAACGAAACAAATTTATAGAAACAAACAAAAAGCAGAGATAGTATACCTTTAATTAAAAAATTATTAATGAAACTCGTGAAATTTTTTCTGTTTTCGTGTTGCATCACGTTATTATTTGTTCAATAAATTTTCAAATTCTATTAATCAAAGGAAAGTAAATAATTTTATGATCTTGTACAAACAAATAAAATTCGTAATGAAATTTTTACCTTCATAATAATTAATTATCTGTGATAATTTTCATCAATAATTTCAATTAACGATTTAAATTAATAAATCCTTTATCTGGTAGAATGTGTTGCTTTATTACTACGACTTTTCAAAATTATTTGATTGATTTCAACGATAAACTTTCTTTTTTAATATAAAATCTAGTGTCGTTTAATTAAATTATAAAATCTAGACTTCAACAAGTAAATCCGCGTATTTAAATCAACGCTAGTAATATACAAAATATTAGCTAGGTAGTAATAAACAATTTAGATGTGAATATAAATGTGTATCAAATTGAAATTTACATATATTACTCGTATTACTTAAAATGGAATCATATGTAGAGAGAGAGAGAGAGAGAGAGAAAGAGAGAGAACAATTTCAAAAGAGGATGCCTACTTTTAGCCACAATAACGTCATTGCCTAGATGTAAAATAACGTGGTGGTACGTAAGGTGTAATTATCTCGACTCGTCTACTCGTTTCTGGACATTTCTCTGCTTTTTGCCAACAGTAAACCTGACTAAAACCACAATACCTACATATATGCATAAATCTATTTTGTACATTCTCACTCTCGGTGGACATTTTTACAATTTCGAGCTTCTCTCATCCCTTGTGCAGCAACAATATTTACATCTTTTTTCTCCTCAGACCCCAAATTCACATTATCTTTTACAAATGCCAACAAAGAAAACAAAAGTGTATACACATATTTCTGTACAGAGAGAGAGAGAGAGAGAGAGAGAGAGAGAGAGAGAGAGAGAGAGAGAAATAATCTGTTATTGTTTCAAATTTTCATGTGTCAGCATATTCTTTTCTGGTAAATTATACTGATATTTCTGCGACAATTTACATATAAATATTTGTCCTTTTTAACAATATATTTAGAATAAATTTTTTTTTTTTTTTGAAGAAAAATTACGGTCAATTTTATTTTTAAACAATTACACAAGCCTGCAAAATAAAAAATTTGCGTTGTCAGAGATCGGGAAGTTATTTCCCGTAGTATTTGGCAGTTTTTAAAAATTTCTACCGGGTAAATCCGACGTGCTTGAGACTTGTCATAGGAGTCAAATTAAAGCTTGAACCCTGTATTTTACGACGATATAGCGATATTGACAACAACAAAATAAATATTAGCTGTCAAAAAATGATTTTTTTTAAGTTGTCAAGCATAAAAATTGACTCACACTGTTCGTAAATACAATTGTTTTAAAAAATACTTGGATTTGCTTGGAATTAGTCACTTGGGGGATTTCGGTGTCGCTGATTACGGATATGATGTCAGATTTTAAAAATTCCAAATTGCTGATCCAATATGTCGGATTAAATGGATTTTTAAAAAAGTTGTCCGCCATATTGAATTTTGAAAATCTGTAGTGGGATTACGAATAGCGCTAGTTACTATGTAGCGCTTTTCGCTGTTTAGAGTTAAAAAAAAACTTACATATTTTTATAGTGAAATTTGTTCTAAATGATGTCCAAAATAAAATAGCGTTGACAGTTTCTTCAAAACTTAAACTGCAAGATCGTAATTCCAATGAGAATATAAACATAACCCCACTGGATAAGACCTTTGACATAGAATTCATGTCAATTTCCTAAAATATTTTATCGACGTAGCAAACCAATACTACACGAAGGTGGAAACAATTCTCTAATTTCATGTTTATCAACTGTTACATTACAATAAAATAATTTACAAAAAATTATTTGATTAAACATTTTATTATTTGAATAAATTTAATTTGAATCCATAATATTTAACTTCATATTTTCCGCTTCAAAAAGTACTCATAATATAATTTCTATCTTTGAATTTTACCAGCGAAACAATTGTGCTAACTTAAATCTGTGAAACTGATACAATTTTTTTTAAGTCATCCAGTAACTAAATTTTTTTTTTTTAAGTGAATATAGCTTCAAATCGCTACGTAGCTCTTTTCTCTAGATCTGATTTTTTCGCACCCAATGTTTCTAAATTTTTTAGTGCTGCACAAACTTTGCTGCGGGAGAGATTCTGAACACAATTTTTCAGAGTCCAACGGATTCATGATTAGTGTATTCCAGGGTTCTTGACAGTATTTTTTTGAGCACTCTTCAATACGCGATTCAAATTTAGAGTCATGAGTAAGTTGATGAATTCGAGCAGGTGCAGATATCTGTTTTGAAGAATTTGTTATTGTTGCCTAGTTGCACTCCTAATTATGCGGTGAGACTGAAAACGGGCTGTTTATCAATTTCCTTTTCGATTCTGGAAAGATCGCTGTCTTGAATTTCAAAAATTTACAGTATGGATAATTCTCGACATCCAAGGCAGTGTCTCTTCCGTCTTGCTCATATGTCGCAATCAGACTACTTACATATGAGTTGGAACTGGTTCGGTAGTTTAAAGCGCTATTTTGAGATGTGCAACATAAACTGATCTATGGACTCTAGCCAATTTAGAGAATTTAATTGCTAGTAGGGATCTGATCCTTCGTGACTTTAAAGACTTTTTGCCTGGAAGGGATCATTGGGCTCGCGTAAGTTCACAATGTTTGGAGATCTGGCCCCACTTAATGTTGCAAACGTTTGCACAGCTGTACCTTTGCTCTCGCTCGAAATTAAATATCAATAGAACTTTTTCTCAAATTAGGCTTATAAATGTTCACAGAAATTTAATTACAATAAATAAAGTTGAGTTTCAGTTACCAAAGGGAGAATTGTGCATATTTTGTGATGAACAAAAAGAAGACATTCATCACTTTTTAATAGACTGTCCGCATTTTCATAACCTTAGATTTTACTTTTTTCTCCTCAACTCCTAGAGTTCTCAGTCCCTAAATCCTTTTGGTTATTTATTTATTTGGAGACAAGCCAATTTTTCTCCAAAACATTTTGTAAATTTTTCTAGTTCCTTTTGTTTAAATTTATAATTCTTTTCTTTTTACTATATTTTATTATACTTTAAACTCTATAATTTATACAATTCTAAAAAAAAAATCTCCCCTTAAAATTTATATTTTCACATATAATAAATATTTGTGAAATATAAATTTTTATGATTGACTTGCTTTATATATGTTTCTCTTTCTTTTTTCAAGGCAGAATATATA